ATCGAACATGCACTTTATACTGATTACTATTGAACGATCAGTTATTGTATTTCTAATTAACAATAACAAATCATTGTCTGTATTACAGGTAGCTTCAATCTACGATACGTCGTCGGTCCTGGTCTATTTATTGAAAGGTCGATCACTAGGTTTGTTTTTGTGCCGATCAACACGAACATATTTATTTCTTGTATGTAAGATTATCTCAAAGTTAATCCGAAATCCGCGTAAGAAAATAAAATCCGAGATTTGGAATAGTGCAAGAAATGAAATGAAATGGGGTTTAACGTCGTACTGTTAATGGTTCTCTTACGTGCACGCCAATGTGTACACAGAACCTTGGTTTTTCGTCCCACCTGAATGATTGATTATACGTTCTACCTTGCCACTTTCTCCGCCCTGTACCACTGACAAAGGGGGGGGGGGGCACGCCGGCAAATCCCTATGAACACCTGGATCCAACACGGACTTCCAGATTAGAGAGCCAACGTCTTACTCACTGTGCCACCGGGGCTCCCTTTTAGTACACGAAGTGCCTTCAATGTTTTTGAAAATTGCCGTGCTTATTCTTTGGACACTTGGGCATCTACTGACGGACTTATTTTTTTACAATTCCAAAATGGCTGCGATGACGTCATGCTCGGTTCCTGGTGCATAATATAGTACTCTCGTACTAGTTTTAATTGAATGTCAAGGAATGTTCTAACAGGTCGGCGAGTACCAACTTGTAAAATCGTTTAAGGATTAGAATTAAGGATTAGTAGCGTACCTAAACAGATCACATAGCAAACATTTTAGGTAACTTTATTATCATATCTGTAAGTCGGTGATAATGTAAGCAAACTCAAGAACATTGAATTTAAAAGGTATCTTATCTGGATCGGGAATTTAAAATGGCTGACACAATACTTGATATTTGATTCAACATTTTGGTTGTATCTAAGATAGTTTGAAGTAGATTTATTAAAATTTAACTTCAAAATATGGCCTGCAAATGAAAACTTAACCGTTGTCAATTGAATCTACATTCTAACACTCTTTAAAGTGTATATTTTAGCCGATTGCGATTGGCATTTTTGATAGATGGGTTGCTGGGGAAACTAAACTACCGATTGTGTTCCGAATGGAAACATCCTATTCGTACGGGGATTTTATCCTTGACTAATGAACAGTGATGGTTCACAGTGGGATTGAGAACCCGTGGTTTTCTCAAGGCTCGATTACAGTGCTTTGATTGCAATTCCCCAAAACCTGTGTGCAAAACTCAAAAAAAATTCAAAATACCGCCGCCAGAATAATGACAAAGAACACAAAAGTACTCCCACATATCTCTTGGTTACATTAGTTACCCATAGAAGCCCGGCTAACTTTCAAGATTCTAACATTGGTTTATATGTGTCAACACGATCTTTCCCCATCTTACCTCACGGATAGCATTGAGTCATATCATTAAGTCATAACCAAAATCGACCACTTCGCTCACAAAATAAGTTCTCATTGGTTGTGAACTGAAATCCTACGGGGATAAAGCCTTCAGTGTCTGTGGACCGATCTTTGGAATAACTTACCATTGGGGATACAGAGTTCTCAAATATGAGCTGCGTTTAAATCCGAACTCAAACCCCATTTATTATCAAGATTAGCTATTATCTTCCTTGCGCTTAGAACATGCAATATAGATGGAGTGAGCGCAATCATAAATGCACATTATTATTATTACTTTTCAGAATCCTCGAAGTTTACTTAGTGTTTTTGGTGGCGGGGGGGGGGGGGGGATTGTTAGCGCGTGTGCGTTGTATCATAAGGTCTGGCATTGAGTCAACTTGCGTGGTTTGTAGTTTTACTACAAGCATAATCCTACTATAGAAAATGGCGTCGTCGTTCACTAAGTAACCATCAGGATTGGATTAACATGAGTATATCTCTGTATTTGACAATTGAATATAATGATTACAAAGACTACATAATTTACCTCTAAAAGATCTTCACTTAGTTCTGTCCTAGACTTTAGGTAAATATTACTAAAGTATTAATATTCTGTATTGCTATATATGCAAATAGAAACGATAACACTACCCTGTCCAATCATGGACAGGGCGATTATGAACTTCTATCTAGCAAGGTGAAATTAAAGGGCAGCAATCAAACGCGTCAGATTTATCCCAGAGTCTGAAGCTAACAGCATACTCATCCACATTAAAGTCCTGATGTGTCATTTGCATTATTCACTTAAATATCAAATTTATCACGGCTTAATCCACGCTAATATGTACACATTTAATACCAGTGCTAGATAATGTTCTGGATTGGACTCAATCGGGTTTTAAAAAGCCCTATCAATAACTTCTCGCGGGCTTATTGCCTTAGCGAGCAGTATAAATCGATTAAATTTCAATTCCGCATGTCTTTGTCAGTACTGAGCGGAACTCAACCATTTTGGACTGATATTTCTATTAGAGATTCATCTTTCAGAAAATTGTAGTTTGCAAGTGGCTTCTATAGCACTAAAATGACGCATAGGGATTTTAATCTTATGGTAATTAAATTTGTAAATAAATAAATATACAACATCTTCTAATAATTAAGAGAACAAAATGAAAAGGAACAAGGACAAAAACAAAAATAAATATAATTTCCACCATCCTCTCTCTCCCTTTTAAAATTTGTGAATTTCCAGTATAAATAAATAAATAATTTTCACCACTCTCTCTCAAGTTTTTAATTATTATTTTTTCGTACAACATTATGTTTGAACAAAGATAGGGCCTTTTAAAGAAATTATAAATAATGTCAAGTAATTTATTTTAACCCTGTACACTTTCTTTAATTTATCGTGTTCCCACAAAATGTTCTGCTTTTAAATAAAATTGTAATTTATCGCAAATGTAATTGTTTTGTTTTTCCAATATTCAGTTTAAATTTTTTCTAATTCATTTATTTTATTTTTTGTTTGTTCGTTTTTTTTTTTTAAAAAAAAGAGGAATATACTGCCGAAACACGAATAATCAATGAAGAAAGTAGGCGTGTGGTGATCGGCCTTTGAGGGAGACATTGCTTACCTGTAAATTCGACTAGACGTGTATAAATGACAGATTGAAAATATCATATTACATTTGTCAACAACGTGTCACTTATATTTCTCACAAATTGATGTCATTAATTCCCAAACACTCGAAAGATTTAACCCTGAACTCAGGGTCACCAAGCATTTTGTAAATATAAACTCAATTTGAATTCTTAAAACTCAGGCTAATTATCTATCAGAAACTGTGTTGATATTTATTTCCCACCCGATATAAAGTTCATCAATTGACGCTTCTACACAGGCGTACGGGCCTATGGAGTAGAGGGGTGGGGTGGGTTGCAATCAGACCTTCGGGCAGACGGGTAAAGTGAAAAAAAAAATCTAGATGGCACAATAAAGTGCCCAAAATCTAATAAAACACCAATTTTACCTTTCTTTTAACTGAAAACAACAAATTTGTTCTGAATTGTGCGACATTTTGGGGGCATCGATTATTATTTGTGACTGCAGCTGCAACAGTCTGATTGAATGGTTGGAATGCAGGTCGGCATAGGGTGGGGTTTTGGTTGCAAAACAAATGGAAAGCTTAACTCACGGGTCAGAATAGCAGAATAACGCGGTTAAATTTTCAAAATTTTCTTTGGGAGGGCGAGGCCCCCATATCCTGAGACGATTGATTGGAATGGCAGAATAAAGCAGTTAAATTTTCTAAATTTTCTTGGAGAGGGCAAGGCCCCCATACCCTGAGACTTATATTGATTGGAATTCGAGCCAGCCGCCTTAGTTACGCTATATCAGATCACATTGAAGTTGCTGTATTCATGGAATAGCAGAAAAACGTGCTTGCAGCTGTCAAATTTTCTTGGGGTGGTGGTGGTGTTGGGGGTTTTGGGGTTGGGGGAGGGGGGAGGGTCCATACACGGTAAGCTCCGCTTTTTCGCCTCTCGCAGGCGACCGGTACCGCCGTCTGTAACCCGAAATTTTGTCGGGTATATCTGATTCTGCCCCTTAACATCCATCGAGCCCGTACGCCTATGCGCATATACATACCCAAAATGTTATCTTTTATGATTACAGTTTATATTTTAGATTCAATTTGATAAAAAGAGAGATTTGAAAACTATCGATCATCAGATTTGAATATTGAGAGTACGGGAGAAATTACTGTTCGTAGTTCTTGTGTAGAGACGGTAATATGGGGTTAACGTCGATGAGGTCATTTCGAGACCTTATGTTCGTGTGAATAATTTTAACCAGGTAACGGCTTTTCTACGCTCTTCTCCTATAGAATTCTTTTATGCGTATTAGTTATTTGTACACGGAAATAGGGACTCGTTGCTTAAGCATAGATCACTAATTCTTTGAGTAAGAAAGTCCGATTCGTAAGGGCAAAATTTAAGGGAGGATGCGATTTTTTTTAACTATCAGAGCCCGTCTTTGCTTCACGTTATCCCCATGGGCGCTATCACTTAAAACTGCCAAATCCATTGGAATTTAGTGGAGAAGTCATGTGACAGTATTGTCGATTTCAAAGTACTTTAGCGAGTTCGTTAACTGTGTCGATTAGCTGTAAACAATTCTTGTGGTCGAACATGGATGAGAAATCCATGTGATCACCCGATCAAATCGCACAGGGGAGTGATTTGGCGATTTAGGGTAATCGCTTCGGAAATCGATGTCGATGAATTCGCGGATTAGGATAATCAATTTGAATTAGATGGACGTTAAAAATAAAAAATAATGCAAATCACTTTGTCTAATCAGTGGTCGATAAAAACGCCTTAAATTAGCTCATTTATTTTATAAGATGTGCTGATGATATTTTGAATAGCATATAATTCACCATCACCATAAAGAGTTTGCGCCGGTTTCTTAAAGACTATAATGATATTAGGCTAATTAACATTGCTTCTTCAGATTCAAATTCTATCAATCCTTTTGCAGAAATCATTTAATAAAATAAAAAAGTTCTTACCTTTTTACCAAAATAGAGTCTAGAATTGAATTTTCTTTCCGTACGTTCAACTGATGCAAATGGTTATTAATAATATTTTCTCCCAGTATGTCCGTATTTCCTGTGTCCCGACTTCTAGGCTATGCTGTGTAAACACGTGTGAACAGTCAGAGAGTACTGACCAAGTTTCTTGCTGATTCTATATTTATATATTGATAAAGAATCTACTCGACTCACTCAGATCTGTCGATGTCAAGAGCTAGTTTATTTCAGCTTCTTATCAATTACCAAATCTTAAAGGGACAGTATCACAAAACACCAAGAACAGTATTCTGGTGGAAAATTCGACAAAAACGAGAAACGTCTTCTTTAACTCGGTTCGTTCAAATTTCATTGATTAACTATAGTTATATGTACGAATCTCGCTGTGATCTCAGTTTATTGAGCTCGACACGGAAATGTCTTGTTGTAGAAAGAAATTTAGACCCAATTGTGATTGAATCCAACTGCCAATTACGTACTAAATTGACATAATTTTTTCTGATCACGTGGGCTTAATGACCAATCTTGGTATCGAGCTTCGTATTGTTGTGAACTATGGGAAGTTTTAAACCCATGTGTTGTTGGGGGTGGAGTTTGGATTGGAATATGACTAGTTGATAACTGTTAACTGGCGGTATATTTTGATAATAGAAAATAATTGTTAAAAACAGAAACTGTGGTGTAATTGGTTTGATTCCAGTTCTCGGGGGTTTCCAGCCAGATTTCTACTTGTCACTGGTGCGGAACGAAGAAGGGGAGGGACAGGGCCTTGTCATTCGAATGACACGAAAACCCAAGGCCTCGTGTATACCATTGTCATTACGTAAAGGAAATAAAATGAAATGGGGTTTAACGTCCTACTATTCTGCTCCGACTAAGCTAATGAATTTGCTATGAGGGAAATTTTGCCCGGACAGTGGTGCTGCTTTGGGATCTTTTACGTGCACGTGACCTCGCGTTTTCATGCCATCCGAACGACTAGACAGCTGTCCATGTCAGGCCCTCCGTCTTGCCGTAAAAACCTTACTAACTTTCTTGGCGACTGACAGTAGCGAACACCCGAGAACTCCACACTAGCGAGTCTATTACGTAAAGGGTCCCCTGACATCTGGAAATCGAAAAATGAGCGTCGCTGTCCAGGCAAGAATAATATTACACCATGGCGTATGCCCATCTTCATTATCCCGGTTCGTGTAGAAAACTAGGACGATGAACTCCATTTCATTTCATTTACCAACCGAAGAAGACATTCAAAGCAGCAACTTCTCTATAAACTTCTCTTCCTGCTTCTGTCTTCATAACATGGGCGTGGATTTAAGGGGGGGGGGCGTGTTGCCCTCTTAGAATCGGAGGGGGGGGGGCGAATAGGTCTCTGTCCCCCCATGATTTTGATCGCCAGGACAGATTTTCAGGTTTATATCCACATGATGGTGAGATTGTTTCTACGTATCTGGAACTGAATCGGGGTTTGGAACAAGAATTGCCATTCTTCAAGCGCCAGTTTTCGGCCAAATCTATTTCACTTGTGCACGAAGCGTTTCTCAGTTTAATCACCCTTCTGTCAAAGCTCTTCTCCGTCTCACGCTGCTGAACCCCGCTAGTTCGCTAGTTCCTGATCAGTCGAGCGATCCTTCAGCACTGTGCGCTGTATCAAAACTTGGCTGCGCAACTCCATAACACTGAACCACTTGATGGCGTGTGCGGTGCATAATGACATGTCGTCAATGAACGTCTTTGGACGATTCACTTAACTTCATGAACAATTAATGTTTGTGCAGCTTTGATGTAGGTAGTCAATTTTTCCATAATGTCATCATATTACCCCTTGTTACATCCTTCATCGAAATAACAATGTTACAGTAAACTGTTCGTAATTATTTATTTCATTTGGTAATGAAATGTTCCAGGTTCCAGGGTTCGTCCGTCCCCCCACGCCCTTGGTTCATAACATGAAATGAAATGGGTTTGAGGTGCTACTTTTCTGCACCAACCGGGCCAATAAAGACGGTTGTCTATAAAGGATATATTCCTTTAATATTTTTGTTTTGTTTTAGTATATAGGAACACTATTATTTTGATAATAATCTTCATAAAACTGTTTTGGTTTTTTTATTATTAAAAAACAAGTCACGTTGCACATGAATACCAAAAGCTTTAAGCTTTAATCTAAGCCGAATGTTCCGCGGAAAGGCACGAACGGAGAATTCAAATTGTTCTATAGGCGCAGTTGATTGGCAAGCAGGCCTAGTTCTTATATTAAAACAGATTTATGTAACGATAACTAGCCCTTGAAAGATAAAAAGAATATTTTAATATAATTTGTCAACTCGTGGATTAATTAAGATTAGTTAGGACGAACTGACACTGATATGCTTTTTTTACACCTTTTTCACGTTTTTGCATGTTTCGGTTGTTAATAACTTATGGATAGCGTTTAGTGTTAATATGACACTGTAGCCATATTTAATTGAAAATAATACTGTTATAAATATATCACATATTTTACTTTGCTGGCAACAGTGGATGGTCGAGTTTGCAAAAAATGAAAGAGAGAGAGAGAGCGAGAGAGAGAGAGAGAGAGAGAGAGAGACTAGGTCATTTCGGGACTAACATATGGTTCAGTTTTATTTCAATAATTCGCTGCTTGCGCGTAGGGGTCTTTGTGTCACGTACAAGCGGGGAATTGATACCACGGCACTTGACTCAATGACCGACCTTCTGATCCAACGCACACTCGTTTAACCATTCGGCCACCCTAACCGTCTCACCAACAATAACATGGAGGTTCCGTTTTCGATCTCAGTGTTAGCGGAGATATATTTCGGGTATTTTCAGCAGGGTTTTCCCTTGTCAGTGGTGCAGGACGAGAGCCAGGCAAGGAACATTGTCTAGTAGTTCGGACGGGACGAAACCCGAGGTCCTGTTGACAGTTGACTTGCACGTAATAGAACCCTTGGCAGTTGGAATTCGATTTAAGAGTGGACACTAGCGCTTTGTAAGGGACAATTCTCCTCATATCACGCTGCATGGCGAATGTCCGTCTGCATCAGCCCAGTTGGTTCGGAACCCCCATTTCATTTTCCATCGTAGTGCACTCTATGGCGTATGACCACCTTCATTAGCCCAGTTACTACAGCAAAATAAGCCGTAAACCCCATTTCATTTCCGATTAATTATTACAAACTTAGTAAAACACCCTACTCTATGCATGTCATTGCTTAGATTACGTAAACGTGGAGCATGCAAGCGCGCATTGTGTTGAATGCGGTAATTCAACGATAAGTTATTAATATATTTAATGACATATTTTTAATTTTTGACATTTTGACACTATGCGTGTTGTAGCATATCGTATGATATTACAATAACAACATTGTTATTTGAGATTGTTCAATATCAAAAATAAATTAAATTCCACATGTGTTCATTGGAGTCGACTTCTATACTACACTTTATTGTGTATTACTTTAGAAAATGAAGTGTGAATATTTTGATTTAGTCAATAATACCGTCATGCAACAAAACTGTTATTAACGTCGTCAAGCGCTGACCATTCCGGACAGTAATATAATGGTAGGCCTACAGCCTGGATCAGTTGGTGCTCATATTCGGCAGCATAATTTGTCCAAATCTTTCAATATATTCGTATATTTTTTTTAATTGAATGCACCTAGTTTCGAATACCTCATTTTCAATTAATTCATGTGCCGTTATAACGCATGCATCATTTGACAGGATTCAGACCACAGTTTATATTCTTTATCCGTTTTGGACATTATTTTGCGATTTAAGAACTCTCATTTTAACCCAACAGAGACAGATCTAGAATCATTAAAATTAAAATAAAGCATTTGATGAAAATCATTCAGATCCAAGCCCTTATATTGATGTAAATTAGGCTACTTCTGTTGAGGTATTTCTTGTTTGGGTTTCGGTTCAATCCGAATGACTACACCCTCTTTTCTTGCCAGACCCTCAATCCTACACTAATGACAACGGAACCCAATTAAACTGAGTAAATGGGACCCTGGTATATTTTTTCACAATCTAAGTTAAGAAATAACATTTTAATAGAAAAAAATATTTTAATATATCCAAATAATATTTACATCCATAACAAATCAAAACTAAGTACAATTTTATAGACACAATGAATTTATACAAACAATAAATTTTGAACATAAAAAATAATAACCCTGAATATACTGTCAAATCAACTCTATTAACTTTATAAAATATAATTTTAGAGTCAAATGATGGAAAATTTTTAACAGGGCAAAAAATTGGACCTTCAATATCCTAAACAATATATAGTAGGATTCTAGGCCAACTCTTTCTAGAACACCTGGTACCACATCCCATCTATTTGGAAAGTTCACAAAGTCAATAATTTATAATGTACATAGTAAGGCTACCCCAGTATATATAATGCCTTATTAAGTGTTAAATCATTTCAAAATTATCTACTTCACCCAACAATTTCAAAATCAATTTTTGTCAAAATAAAACTTGGAAATGATAGAACTTCAAAAACATTAATAATAACATAGAAAGAGAAAGAGAAAGAGAGAGAGATGGGGTTTAGTGTCCACTCGACACAAACCAGGTCATTTTGGGACTAACATGGTTCAATTTTGTTTCAATAATTCGCTTACGCTTAGGGGTCTTTAGCAGTGAGAGGAAACCGGAGGACCCGGAGAAAACCCATTGGGTTGAAATGACGATCAGCGACTATTAAAGTGTTAATAAAAGTGAAGATGTATATAAGAGAATTCTGGACTTTATATTTATATGATTTTAAAGAGTTTGAACACAAATTTGGTGATTGAGATGGAAAAATTCGAAAGGCACTTCTTTATAACTCAATAAATGAAATTTTCACAAATCCTTTGAGAAATCACATGATACCCGTATGCCAAAAAATGTAGATGTAGGAAGTGTTCACAATTTGAAATCTGAAAGTTCTGTGTTTTGATGGTGTTCTTCCTGAAGTACCAATGAAAAATTCCTTTATTACATTCACAAGATGGGGCCAAGAAACAATGGCTATGATTGGTTAACTTCAATATTTTCTTGTAAATCTTGTAAGTTATGAAGAACATCATCAACATCTTCATCATTGGTTTCTGGTTCTTTATTTAATTCATTTACCTGCAAAACAGAATAATAAACGCTTGCTCTTTCATTTTACCACACTTTGTGATTTTAATAACAGATTTTGCCTGATCTTAAATCAGACCAAGAATCGATTTCTACAAATAAAGAATGGTTAATTACACAATTCTTTATTCAATTAAATTAAAGGTTTGTTGATGATCAGGGCCAACCATAATAGGCTACTTTGATTGGCTAAGAATATGAACACATAAGCCTAGATATTATGGAAATAAAATCATAATAAGCTACTCTGATTGGCTAAAAATATGATCACATGAATGCGGAAATAAAATCATAATGGGCTACTCTGATTGGCTTAAAATATGACCACATGAATCCTGGAAATAAAATCATAATGGGCTACTCTGATTGGCTAAAAGTATGACCACATGAATTTGACAACTTTTCTAATTGCACTGAGTCAAATGATATGCTGTATTTGTAGAAATAGTTGAAAAACTTAAAAAAATTGTTTCTATTTTTCATTGCTCAGCAGTGCTGCGTCTGGAGGACATTGATCCAATCAGATGTCCGGATATTAGACTACAAATTAAGAAAGTATTACTGACCTTGAGTAACTTTTGATTATCCTGTTCATCATTTACAGGAAAATAATCAGGTATCATTGTATTAACTTCTACTGTTACCTTACCATTAGGTAGAATAATTAACAATAATTTAGAGAAGGCATTCTGTTTAGCACGTTGAGTAGCTATTTTCTTTGTTTTACCCACTAGGGTTATTCTGTCTTTTGGGTCTGAATAATAATAAATGATAAAATATTTAAAAACACATTTGTTTTAAGAGATATTAAAATTGTTGATGTACAAAACACGTCACATTACTGAGAGCTCTATTATGGCATGGGGCCTATTGAAAATGTCTTTCTTAAACAAACATTATGCAAGAGCTAAATTTGCCAATTGCAGGTTTTTCTTTAGACCTGAATGTTATCTAAATTATTAATTAGATATTAATTAACTTATCCAGACCATAATCAACTCTCGATGCCATCGCTAGCCTACTGGATTTGAATACATTTTGTGATGGGTGATTTAACATCAAAATGGATAATCGAGACTAGATAACCGATTTTAGTAATGATGATGAGAATAGGCCTAAAGTTCCATCGCTAAATTCTCGGTTCAGACTGGAGCAACTAGAATGAAATTTTCAGCATATTCTCTGTACGTTATCTATTTTTTAACTATTATAGCGAGAACTGTGAGCTTTTTATCTACTTTCCCATAATTACCTTTTAACTTGAGAATTACTGAAATTTGAAATTCAATGTTTTCAATATCACATGACTGAGTTAATGTACTAGTAATATTCTAATTACCTTATTGAGATTGAATGGAGAATTATTACAATATGTCGAGAAACAAAGTTAGCCCCAAAGGTGTTCTACTTCAGTATGTTGCAGAAGCGGAAATAATATTAAGGAAGATGGGCTAACACGCACAACAACTATTCTTCATGAGAAAGGGTTCTGTACTCCAAAATGATCCAATGCATTAAAGATACATTATGTAAGATTTAGATAAAGAGCTACAACAGCTCAAAACTAGATAATGTAAAATGAAAATTTCATTCCAATTACTTCATTCTGAGCCAAGTTATCACTTTTTGTAGTTTTGACAAGATGTGTGCATTGTGGTGACCAGCACTGGTATATTCAAGACTTAGCCTTGCTTTCTTATTTTTAAATTAAAATGGCGAACCATTCTAAACTAGTTAAAACCTTGAGTATCTGATGCCATCGAGAGTTGATTATGGTCTTGTTTTGTTAATAAATGTCTAATTAATAGTTTATATAACATTTCAGGCCTAAAGAAGACCTGCAAAAAGCAGATTTAGCTTTAGCATAATGTATGTTTAATATTTAAGATTACCAATTACTATACTTGTCTTACCGATTGTAGTTTTATGATATTTTTCTTCCCAGGCTCCAAAACCTTGACATGAGAGTAAATGACCAGTGATATATAATGTTACTACACACATATATCTAATGGTGGCAATCTCACTCTCTAAGGCTCCTTCGTTTTCTTCATTACTGTCTTTTTCTAACTAAAAAATCAAAACGAAACTAGAGCAATACTGAAGAGACCCTTTGCAAAATTTCAATACGTCCTAATAATAACCCAAAGATAGAAATGAAAATGAAATGGGGTTTAACGTCCTACGGCTAATGAAGACGGGCATACGCCATACAGTGTGCACTGCTATGAGGAAAATTTTTCCCGGACAGCAGCCTACTCTAATATCAAATGCCAACTACAATGGGATCTTTTACGTGCACGTCAATTGGAAACATAATTTTTTCTATATCTGTTGCTTGATCTATTGATAGGTTGTCAAATTACTATTATACATCATATGAATCATCGTAGCACTTAAAATAAAAACACCTGAAATAATAGCAAAATTACCTCGCTTGTTTTCTATAAACTCCTTGACATGGAATTGGCAAAGCTCAACGTTTATCTTTCAACTTTGATATATTTGTCAATTTTTCAACTAACAATAGTGAATTATGGGATTAAAAGGATTATTCTTTAACACGGTAGAACTTTAGATTCCACATATTTTATAGCTTTATTTGAACATATCTTATAAGTTAAGCATCAATCTGATTAAAACACAGATCCAATTTCGTTTCGTTTTAATAAGTTCAAAATTTTGATTTTACTTATCTTTACTACACTTGGATCTGGAAGCGTTGTTATTTAACTCGTGCTCTGCTTGAAATGAGGGGTCAGCCAATCAAATGGTCTGTCGAATCGAGCGTTTGACCTTTTTTGCGCGGAACTTTGGGTAGACATTAGCGGCAATAGAAATCAAAACAAAGGAAAAGTAGATAAAAAATACATGGCGGTCGCTAATTGGTTAATCGAAGGACTCACCTAATCAGGTCAAATGTCGCTTGCTTGGTACCTGATGTCATAGAACGTGAACTCCCACTATAACTTGTTAGATCTACACGTATTGTAGGCCATCGAAAGTATAAAAGACGAAACGAAATATAGATCTATATGTTAATTAGATTGCTTAAGCATATGACTTACATGCGCATTATGTTAAATTTATATAAAGAGCTGACCATTCTCGCTATAATAGTTCAAAAATAGATAATGCAAAATGAATAAATTGAAAAGTTCATTCAAATTACTTTATTTTGAACAAAGTTATCACTGTTTGTAGTTTTGACAAGATGTGTGCATAGTGGTAACCAGGGCAATGGTATATTCGAGACTAAGCATCGCTCTCCCATTTTTAAATTAAAGTTTTAAATGGCGAACCATCTTAATCTAGTTAGCCTCATTTCTCCATTTTTAAATTAAATTAGTATTATATGGCCTAACCGTTCTAATCTACTTAAAATCGGAGCCATCCGATGGCATCGAGAGTTGATTATGGTCTTGTCATGTTAATAAATGTCTAATTAATCATTTATATAACATTTATGACCCAAAGAAAGACCTGCAATGAAATAATGAATACAAATACTATGGTAAAATACATTATAGAAATATTGACATCATCTTACCAGTCTGATTTCTGTGGACCAGCCATTAAAACCCATATAATAACTAGCTAAGTCTACACACTGACTAACAGATAGACAATAAGGTTCTTCAGGTCCTTTCTGGCGTTTAGCATAAGTCAACTAAAAGAAATACATATTCAAAGTCATTTATTTAGAAAAGGTAAAATGAATGAGTACGAAACTATGGTATATTGTATATTATGTGCAATGGGAGGGGAAGAATTCTGTCCAAACAGCTGTATTTCTGCCTACTTTCTTTAAGAGTACATCAAGCGCTTTTTATATTAACATTCTGAAACTAACAAACATATTTTTATCTTTAAAATAGAGCAAAAGTGTAAAGAAATAAAATTCATATCTGTATAATAATCATATTGTTAAAATACCAGACATAGGTGAACGCTCTCTCAAGTCAGTTTGTATCTGCTTCGATCCATTTGATTTTCAAACTATTTAATAACAGTACCTTACAACATTTTTCACCAATAAAACACTTTCCATTTAAATCATGTAGAGCTCGGGCAGCGGCATATAGTGAGTAAAATTTGATAAATGCATAAAATGTGGTTGTCTCTGATGGTTGGTCAGAATTATCTCCCTTGCCTTGAAGCTTGGATTTAAAAACTTGAACTTCATGGAGTAATCCAAATTGAGAAAATTTGCAATGCAGCTGATCCTTAAAGAAAAAGAAGACAAAAGTAATAAATAGAGAGAGAGAAATGGGGTTTAACATCCACTTGACACAAACTAGGTTACTTCGGAACTAAATTATGGTTCATTTTATTTCAATAATTCACTTGCGTGTAGGGGTCTTTTAGCAGTGGGAGGAAACCGAAGAACCCGGATAAAACCCATGAGGTTGGACAAACGACCCTACTCCCTGTCACGTACAACCGGGGAATCAAAACCACGTCAGTTGACTCAATGACAGACCTTAGCACGCGCTAACCGTCCGGCCATCCAACTCAAGTAATAAATACCAGTAAATGTAAATAAATGATTGACTGCTTAATGTCTACAAAGCATAAAACTAGATCATGCCTTCGCCTTCAGGACTAACATTGTACAATTTAATGTTATTTCAATAAATCGCTTGCGTGTGGATCAAGGTCTTTAGCAGTGGGAGGAAACCAGAGGAATCCCATGAGGTAGGCAGATGACACTACCCCTTGTCACATACAATTATGTGCAGGACAGAAACCATATCACTTCACTCAATGACAGACCTGCTTATAATCTGCAGCCGGGCACCAAACCCTTGTTATAGCGTGGGTACCGTTCAGAGGCTAAATGTAGGCCTAGTCTCTTTCATGTGCAATAATGCCCAATGTGTTTTGTTTTTTTTAACAACACTGTCATGTTTATGTTGGATAACACAACTTGTCACAGTAAATTGTTTGGAACATAATTTGGGTTGGTTTTTACATTGTATTTTTAAAACCTATGGGTACAGTACGGTATATAAAACAGATTCATACCTGACTCAGCCTCAGGTTCTGATTTTCATTCTAATATTTTGGAACATAATTTGGGTTGGTTTTTACATTGTATTTTTAAAACCTATGGGTACAGTACGGTATATAAAACAGATTCATACCTGACTCAGCCTCAGGTTCTGATTTTCATTCTAATATTTTTTTTGTAAATTCTCAAGAAAAAGGCCCTAAATCAGTCCACTGAATCACAAATAATGGCCTACAGTATAACTATGATTGAATGAAAGTAATCTTGCCCAGTCCTGGGCTGTCAATGTTTACAGACTTCGTAATGACAGTGAGTAAAAAGTGAGTAGCAGGCTAAGCAGGAGGAGGATTGTGTCAAGTTCTAGTACATAAGTAGGTACAATTTGAATACCTCAACATCTATTGCTTCCATTCCTGTAACGATATTCGTCATGAACAGATTCTTTCTGTTACATGCTGGACGAAAAAAATCGACAATTTCTATTCCTCTGTGAGCCATTTTTACTGCGTTCAGTTTCTTTCTGTGTGCACCTTCTGTTTACACTGTCTTCTAATTTACCGCCATTTTTAGGATTGATCACATTCCGCACGACGGCTACGTTCGCCCATAAACGCAATACGTATGTAATCCATATTTACAGATAAAATTGAAGATTTTCTATAAAGATATTGGTATTTAATGAAATTATGTTTTATTCTAAATGTTAATCTTAAGAAGTATGGTTTTCGGTATCATTATAAAATAAAAGTGTCGTGCATACAGTTCTCCTTCAAAATCCCACAATGCAGCATAATCCAAGATGTCAGCGCCCAAAGACAAAACATTTATTCGCGAGTATGAGAGAAATGATGAAAAGGTGTTGAAAATTCATCAATCTGAGATAGGCGATGTTGGATGTGTTGTGTGGGATGCTGCCCTGGTACTTTGTAAATATCTAGAAAGTGGGGATTTTGGCTGTGGTGCCAAACTGAAAGGCAAAACTATTTTAGAGCTAGGAGCTGGAACAGGAGTTGTCGGCCTTGTAGCTGGTGGTCTAGGGTGAATACCTGACAACTCATCCCAAAGATACAAATTTCATCTTAACACACCTAATTTAAAAAAATGGAAAAATTCAACTATATGATTGGTTTTGGTCTGAGTGGTCTTCACAGAAAGCAATTGTATTAAAACAAGCACTTAAATTTTTTGGGATGAGTTGTCTTATAACTTGTCTTATAATATAACTCTACCCATGTTTTAAAGTTGGGATGAGTAGTCTTTTATATTGGGATGAGTTGTCTTTTATATTGGGATAAGTTGTCTTTAAAATTGGGATGAGTTGTCTTGGGATGAGTTGTCTTTGGGATGAGTTGTCTGTATACCGTCTAGGGTAACCAGTCATAGCTATTCATAGAATTAAGAAAACAAATCTGTGGACATACAATGACATGTATGTTTGAAAATCCCCTAATATGACCAAATATTAACATCCATGTATACATCAATTAAGGAGGTGTTTTTGTAATTGATCATAAATTAAAAGATGACAAATATGAATCTCAGCGATAGCCTACTGATGGATTTTCAGACTTGTGTTAACTTTTGCATATAGCCTATATCTTATATTAGTATTAATAATGTGAATAACGCTACATAGTCCAGATGATATAAAATTGTCAAATCCTTTATACATGTATTTGTGAAGTATCACAAATAATAATTCCTTGTATCTAAATTTGATCAGAAATATATTTTTTTCAGAGCCCATGTAACGATTACAGATCTACCAGAATTTTTACCTTTAATTAATTTAAATATTAAAGAGAACAATGAATTATTTGGTGATGATGTGAAGGCAGAGACTTTAATCTGGGGTCAAACTGAATATAATACAACAGATAAAAACATAGATTATATTTTATTGGCTGACTGTATCTATTATGAAGAGGTATATTTTATATTTAAAATTTATCCTTTTGTGTCACAGTTGTTTCTGGAGGAAATTTAAATGGGTTAAGTATAGAGGTGATGATTTTTGTTTCAGATGACTGTCAATCCCATTTTTGATCAGATACCATTGCAAATTTTACAGCTTTCGTGGCTCATGCTGTAGATCACACTGATCAGCAGTGAATTTTTGCTAGGCCACTACAATTACTGATAAGTATGACATCGATGCGATTTAATGAGTCCCGAATATTAACTTTTTTCTTCCGTCAAATTAAATTCTAAAACATTATTTTCATTTATTAGAAAAATAAATAAAGACGTTTGAATTGTTTGTAGGTAAAAATCATTTCCTATTTAGTGTAGTAAATGGGTATTAAAATAAGTAAAATTCACCATTTAGCCCGAATCAGTAACGTCTTATGTAAACAATGCACACGCTATTGAGTCAATGATTGACGCCGTGTGATGTGACGTCACATGTCCAAACAGTCATCTGTAATAGAGATATTAAAAGATCTCTGATTGGCTGTAGATCATTAGGCCAGTTATCTAGTTAATAAATATGCACCAATATTTTCATTAAAAAAGCTGCATGAATGTCCGTTCATATTTTTTTGGGCCTCAGCTCATTTCGCACTCTGGTTGCAAGTGAGTTTTACAGTAATATCGCCTTAATATTATACAGGCATTGTGCAAGAGCTAAATCTGCCTATTGCAGGTCTTTCTTTAGGCCTTAAATGTTAGCCTACATAAAGTATTAATTAGACATTTATTAACATGACAAAAAAAGGCCATACTCAACCCTCGGTGCCATTGGATGTCTCCGATATTAAGTAGATTAGAACGGTTTGGCCATTTATTGATTTAATTTAAAAATGGAGAAGCGAGGCTAAGCTGCGAAAAACCAGTATGGTGGTTACAATCAATGCACACATCTTGTCAAACCTTCAAAGGCTAATATCTTCGCTCAGAATAAAGTAATTTGAATGAAATTTTCAATATATTCATTTTGCATTTTCTATTTTTGAATTTTTATAGCAACAATGGCTAGCTCTTTATATAAATCTTACATAATGCTTCTTTTTTAATGGATAAATAATGGGTTTTTTTTTATACTTTCAGTCTTTAGAGCCATTAGTTAATACTATGGTTAAATTATGTCAACAACACACTACCATTTTATGTTGCTATGAGCAACGAGATACTGGTAACAAACCACAACTGGAAAAAAGATTTTTTGAGGTAAAGTAACGGTCTGTTTTGACAAGCTTTACTTGAGGCATGCACAAAATTCTAGGAAACACCTACATAGCGGTGGCTAACTAAAAAAACCTAAACTAAATATGCCCCACAACGTCACCTTCCTGGAAATGGGGGGCGGGGGCGAATGGTTAGCGTGCACGTGCTGTATCATAAGGCCTGTCATTGAGTCAACTGGCGTGTTTTCGAATCCCCGGTTGTACGTGACAAGGAGTAGGGTCGCCTGTCCAACCTCGTGGGTTTTCTTTGGGTCCTCCGGTTTTCCTCCCACTGCTAAAGACCCCTATGCGCAAGCGAATTATTGAAATAAAATTAATTCATATGTTAGTCCCAAAATGACCTAGTTTGTGTCGAATAGACGTTAAACCCCATTTCTCTCTCCTGGAAATGGAATGGGGTTTAACGTCCTACTCCGATTGGGCTGACCTGGAGTAGGGACAATATTTAGATCTGTGTTTTAATGAGATTGTATTTGTAGAAGGGTAGTTAGAATTACAGAGGCATGGGAAGACAACTCTGTGTATTGAATATGTAAGAGTAGAAAATTATAAATGACCATATTTTACTCTCAAGATGATCATATTAGTAAGACATCATAATATTTTATCTTTTTTAGCTTGTGCGTGAAAGTTTAAAAGTTGAAGAAATATCTCTAGATAATCAAGACCCTCTGTATTCAAGTCCAGATATACATATAATGAAGTTCACGAAACAACCTGGTTGATCTTGACACAAAATTCCAATCTTTTAGAAAAAGACAGTAAGTTATGAAACGGTGACAGACTGTATGGAATAATGGCAGATATATTAGGGATGAAATTGGGTCAACTCATCACTTTGGGGATTTTGAGACTAACATGGTAACTTCTACTGTTCTTGGAATTTTTACTGCCAATGGTACACAGGTTGTCCTCACTTTTTCATCCCATCCGAAGGACTAGACACGTTCTGCAAACACCAACCCTGTCAAGTGAGAATTGGGCTTCTTGGTTTGAGAAATCATGAAGGATCTTCTCAGTCTACACCAGGATTCAGAAATGACACAACTGCTTGGTGTCGAGTGAAGGGAGGCATAAAATTATTTGGACTGTACCTATAAACCAGCAAAAACTTGCAAGGGAAAAGGCGTATGTTTTTCTGCTTGATAAACTGTGACCACAACATGTACAGGATACCGGTTTATATGGTAATCACAACCACTGATGAACATACCATTATAAAATAAACAATGTGAATAACAATGTCATCAGATGAATAAAAACAATATTTAACACATCAACAGGATTTATTTATAGTTTTTATCATTAATTCATTAAAAATGTACAATTTATTATAACAACCTAGTTTTAATAATACAAATATCTAATAATTGAGTAGTTTATTCATGTAAGTTCTTGCTTTATAACATAATTTATTTAATTTGCTTTTACATTTCATTATTCATATAAATAAAATAATTCAGTAATCCCTAGTCGAACCTCAAATGTACTTTTGAATGACACTCTTTTTTAAAAATTCAGATTGTCTAAGATTTTACATACCATGCCTTTGTATGTTGCAAGTTACCCATATTTTGATTGTAAATATTTCTCAATTTTAAAACTTTAAATCTTTAATATTTTAGAAATAAAATATTTGACATTCTAAAGGAATTTCTTTTAAATTCTGATGTTTCAAATACCTGTATGTCTGACAGGTAAGAATTTTACCCTTGGTTTAATACATCTTGAACTCCTCAGTGAAACTTATCTAATTTAATGTCAAAATGAGTGTTGTGACATTTCATTATTTTAGGCTAATAAATTTTCAACAACCAGAATCATCTTGGTCTTACCCGAGGTTTGCTAATATCAGCAAGAATGAATCTACTACTATTGTATTACTTGATGATCAAGCAGAACACACCATGTCAACTGGCTATAACACTTCTGGTATCAAGCCAGTGAAATGTCAAGATAGACCACAATCCCGGCCAATACAACAATAATAGCTCCATGTTTACTTTGTTAGCAGTACCAGTGGAAAGCTACAATAATAGAGTCTAGGAATATGAAATAAGGTTGAATATGGAGAAGCTATTAAGATACATTTAGCACTGTTTAAGATAAAACAAAGTTTCAACACTAGCACTACAAATGTTTCTATATACAATAACAAACAATCTACATAACTTATAATATATAAACATAATATGGAACACAAATATTATTTTAATTAAAGCCGCTTTCCGTTAAGGATTTTCTCAAAGTTATCAAGCAAAACCCTCAACGAAATTATCGATTTTAATTAAGATAGTAATTGTGTTTCATATTATGTTTTTGTGTTTATTACATGTGTCAATTGCTATATGCCGCTCAAAAAAAAAAAGCCATATAATATAATAAGTTTGTTGTAGTGTATGGTCTTTTAATACTCTTTTGATAATGTCATTTTTGGTATATTCTATTTTATGTCCAACTATAACCTTCAAAGAGTAAATTAACACAGCAGATAATAGTTTAAGACCATACATAATCCAAAGTATTCTTACTAAAATATATATTGGTCCAAATATTTAAACCTATCATTACTTTCAATCCTAATGGTAGGTTCTGGCCATTTGAAGTTTACATTATTTTCTACTGATTTCATGCTACCATCTTTATGTATGCACTATTTGATATATATTTGACTTGTACCCACCAACATTCTTTATTGTCATGTTAGTAGCAGGATAGTTCAATTTTCACACCCCCCAAAAATATCCAGAACCTCATGATCATACAAACTGAAGTAGGATGTTAAATGGTTTAACTTAAACTCCATTTCACACAAACTGAAGATTTCCACTTTCATACATAATTGGATAAAGTGGTAGGAATACGACTTTAAAGATAATTCATTCAACCTCTACGAAATCAAAACCCCCACACTGTCTAATGCTAACATGGGCGAAAAATAGATGTACCCTAAGACAGTAACAAACAACAAAGCAGATCAAGACAACAGATTAGAATAAGACGTCACTCAGAAATTATACTTTATTGGGTTCTGCATAGTTAAAATTCCCTGTAACTTTTGCACCTTTCATTCAGTTCCTAGGAGTTACTTATTGACCTTCATTTCTGGTCTTATTCTGTATATATGAAATAACTTTACTTAAATTTGACCTCAATCATATTATAGCACTATTAATCAAAATGAAATCAAAATACTTGAATTTTCTATATATTACATACTGTTGGATTCTATATATATATATAATATATATATTATTATCATATTGAGTTTCCAATTATAAAATCTGTATAATCTCAAACTTAAAATTCTATAAATACATCAATCTATATTATTATTTACATTCACTGGTTTCACAATAACTTTAGCTTAATCATAAAAGCTGAAATCAACTTGAAATAGTGACATGTGTCATACACAATGCAAAGTGTTCTTACATATTTTGAAACACCAGGTCCACTCACTATTGCTTAATTTTTCTCCAGATAGTCCATTTTATTACTTGATCACTCGTTAGGACTAATCTAGTCCTTTTATACTTGATCTGAATTGTCAGTCTTAATTGAGATTTCTTTTCCTACCATTTCTCCTATATTTCAGATTGTCTAACTAACCACCGTTGCGTAGGACTTATTAGTCTAATTAATATTACTTTCAATTTGTTTTCATTTTTATGGGGTTTACATCAACACTACAGCTAGACAAATATGTCCATTCAATAATTTCAACTGACCAAACATCTAGCAAATGAAAAACCAAATAGGCTAAAAATTGACTTAAATTGAACAGAAAATTTATTAGGAATTACTTAGATCTTAATGTTGGTTAATCAAATTTAAAATAGAATGAATAAAAGATCAAATTGCAGGAGTTAGACACCTACTTGCATCTACTTGAATTTTGGATGTCAATGACACTAGAATTAGGGAGAACAAGGCATACCCTAACGGAACACAATACTATCTCAATCAATCACCATAACTGAAATGTTCAATTACGTTTCTCACACCATATCTGGCAGAACTGTAACCAGACTGAATTCTGTATCCCTTATTAGCAATTCTGTCGATTCAGAAGTTTCCGGACTGACAACTGAGTCCGGACAACTCAATGTCTAAATAAATAACACTATTGCAAACAATAATGCAAGAGTATAAATAAGTAAAATTCTTCTCCAAACAACAATAACAAATTAAGAAATAATTCCTAAAAAATAAGATGCAGTCCAAGTATTGTTTTAAAAATAAATTTCATCAATATTTGGGTAGAACCTTCCCTAATTATAGCATTAAGAGAACTTCAAACACATTTGTCCAATTCAATTTCTTGCCATTTGCCCTTAAAAAAAACCTTGTAATTCTTTTATGCTATCTAATACAATAATACCAATACATCCACAAACAGTTTTAGCCACAAATAATTTCTGTTTCAATTTGATTAAAATACTTTGTGAGCTATTTTCATCAAAACTCTTAAGATAAATATCACTTAATTTAATACCAATTGTACTCTTTAATTTTATATTCCATGAACAGGAGTCTTTACTTTAAAAACCATCTAAACAATTCCAGTCCCAGTTGTTTGTTCACAAATAGTTTTTAAATTATTTAAATATATGTTACGCTGGATGTTATAAGAGCATGGTTTCAGGATTTTCTAATAATCTGCGGAACTCTTGTAGCCATCTGGCCCCGACAGCACCATCTACCACACGGTGATCACAACTTAATGTCACTGTCATGATATTGGCGGATCTATATCTGAAATACATAAAGTAATATCATAATCTTCTTCATTTCTTGACAGAGATATACTCTATTGAATATTCACAAGATGAATAATGAAAAGGGTGTGATTTGGGTCTAATAACGCAAGCACTGACGGAATAAAAACTCCAGCAGTATATTTGGCTGCGCTCGGGGCCTAAAACTCTCAGGACCCAAATTCACCAGATACCCAAATTTGATGGCCTAAATCATTAACAGGGTCATGCTAGTTAATTTGATACCACATGTAGGGGTCTTTAGCAGTGGGAGGACCCAGAGAAAACCCACAAGTTGGACAGAGGACCCAACTCCTTATCATGTCCAACTGGGGAATCGAAACCATACCAGTTGACTCAATGACCAACCTTATAATACAGCACGCACACACTAACCATTCGGCCATCCAACTCTCCCTTTCAATTAGAAGCAGAGTTATTGTGTTTAAATGTTTCTGCCAATCAAATATTTTATCTTTGCTTATCTTCAAAAAGGTGTGTGTGTGGGGGGGGGCAATTGATTTTATACTTACCCTTCATTACTATGTTGATCAACTATTAATTGTTTAGATGCTCCACCTACAGCTAATATACATGCCTGAAAAAAAATATATTTAATTCATTAAAAGGAGTAGTCCCAGATATATTTTAGTCAATAAAACTGTTTAATTTGTGAAGAAAGACTTTACAATCTTTATCATTGTCCTGGGGCTCAAGGAATCACAACATACCCCAGTTTCTATGTGGGGTTGGCCATAACATGTATATAAGAAACAATATTTAGTTTATTTACCTGTGGGGGATTAATGACAGCTGAAAATTGTTTTATACCAAACATTCCTAAATTAGATATGGTAAAAGTTCCACCCTGAAAAAGTAAGATATGAGAAATATATACATAGTTCTCTTTAATTAGTTTCTGTTACTGTTTACACTCTCTCAACAAATCGTCGGTGGGGAGTCAAAAGGTCGTATCTGGATTTGGCGAAATTGTCCAGGAGAGCCAAAAAACACACAGAGGTTAAGAATCAAAATGTCTAATAAAACCGTCACGTCAAAATGTTGTATGTAAAATGTCGTATTTCTGAAGCTTTTCTTAAATATTTCGGTACAAAGTGTATGTGAAGCCATTAAAACAATATGTAACTATCCGCACGTATCAAGCTCAACATTTAGAGCAGAAATAAAGAGTGAAAGCTAGTTATTTGCAATTTTATACAGCAAAGACGTATCTCAGGAAAAGATTCACCTTTACCTGCTTCAATTTCATAGAATTCACACAGTAGACGCTCAACAATAATTTCTATAATACATATTTAACTATAAAACAATACTGGCTACATTTCTTTTGATTGTAATACCTTGGTTAGACACAAAGTTGATTTTTTAAAAAAAAATACGACATTTTCACTCTTGATAATTTTTTTTTTTTTAAACACCCCATATATGACATTTTGAAACAATATCTATAAAACCTCTTTTGATTGGCCTAGAAATACGACAACTAGATGAAATGATGCGCAAGAAAATTCTCATTCTGAAGAAGCAAAAAAGTGAATTTCGCAAAATATGCCAGATACGACCTTTTGACTCCCCACCTACGAAATATAGGATCTAGGAAGATTGGTCTTATAATCGTTAATTGATGGAGACTAATATACTATATATATATATATTATATTGATATTTACAAAGGAAATTGATTTTATCTAAAATAAATTTAAGAGTTTTTCTGTAGAACTCTTAGGGTTTTTTTTTCTATAGAACTGCATTTAGAGTATTTCTATAGATCTCTAGAGTTTTTCTACAGAATTCCATTTAAAGTGTTTCTATAGTACTCCCTTTAATATCTTTCTTTTCAACCCCATTAAGAGTTTTTCTATAGCAAATTAACAAAAAGTAAACACTATCTAGTGAAACCAAAAATTATTTATAATATACCTGATATTCTTGTGGTTGAAGTTTACCAGCCTTCGCTTTAGCTGCTAAAGCTTGTACATCTTGACTAATTTGGGATAAACCCTGCAAAAAGATATAATTTAACAATAAATCATATGCGATCTCTGATAATTCAGACAAAATTTTAATCAGAATAACAATCTGTAATTTGATAATTTTTCACATATTTGTTAAAATCAGATTGGCTAGGCATTTTGATCTGTTGTCTCAGATTATGACAAATTTGATTGTATACCAGAATCTGTGTATCATACACTACCTGCACAGCATGTGCAGTTAAAAGCTGATGATTGTTTTCTTAAGAATCTTGAATCCTTTGCAAACTAAAGTATTGTGAAAGTTGTGAGAGAGAGAGAGAGAGAGAGAGAGGCTGAGAGTGAGAGAGAAAGGGGGAGTTAAGATCCACTGGACGCAAACTAGGTCATTTCAGAACCAACATAGGGTTCAACTTCATTTCAATAATTTGCTTGCATAGGGGTTTTTAGCAGAAAAATTTGATCTATCTCTGGACCAAAACACACTCCAGAAAACAAATCTTCACATCATTCTGTATTAAACACTTTTGTTTGTTTCATCCAAATCAAAGCTGGCTATTCATTTTAATGTAAAATTCTGACATAATTAAGAGGTAAATTTCCAGCCTGACAACCATCTGTGATAGGTTTTTGCAACCAGAGACATTTTTAAAGAAAATATTTACAGATTAACCTTATTTATTGAAATAAGTGGTTTCTTAAATACCTTGGATTCTGCTCGGAATACTATTGGTGTAATTAAACCATTATCTGTTGCTACAGCTATATTAACATCTACTGAATTATATCTATAAATACCAATAATTACAATATAGAACAATAATTACAATATAGAACAATAATTACATATAGACAAATAGTAAAATATAAACCAATCATATTTCATATTTGCAGTGATTGTTCACTGGATAAGCGTTTACAACAATCTAAATTTAGCTTATTATTCTATTATACTTTTGCAGCCTCATCTCCATATGGAGTTGAAAGTTTTGTTTAGGAAGCTCACGTCAGGGGTCACATAGATGACATTGTTTGATTCTCTACTGATCTATAAAAATATGGTTTATTTAAAAACTATTCCACATTCTACTGTTATGAATACAAGAGAGAGACAGAAATGGGGTTTAACGTCCACTCAACACAAACTATGTCATTTCGGGACTAACATATGGTTTAATTTTATTTAAATAATTCGCTTGCGCGTAGGGGTCTTTAGCAGTGGGAGGAAACCGGAGGACCCAAAGAAAACCCACGAGGTTGGACAGGCGACCCTACTCCTTGTCACGTACAACCGGGGATTCCAAAAAACGCCAGGCTTTATGATAGTTATGAATACAAATAAAAAGATACATTTGAAATATAGAAATTGCGTGTTCGACGGAATTTTTCAAATTAGATTTTACCGGTAGCATCATAACAATTAACATGCCACCCCACCCTAAGCTCCCCATACCCTCCATCTTTACATGGTCCTCTTACCCAACTGTAAAATTAAATTTTACAGGTAGCATCAACCCCGCCCCCTTATTACCAAAGTGACTAGACACTTCTTATCACAACCTCTCCCAATAGTTAAACACCAGACTTACTGTCTAATAACACTATCTTGCCATGATGAATTAGCTTCTGGTACTTTACGACATGCTAGAGCTGATGCCTTAATAATAAAATCATTGACAGATAACTTGACATTATCTTTAGATAAACTTTCATTAAACTGTTTTCTTAATCTGAAATAAATATATAGAGGAATATATCTCTAAAACATAAGAGACTAACACAAGAGATATTAGCCATTTAAAAGGCTAAGCAGCAGTCAATATTTACAGTAATAATAATAATACTTCAATCAGTGATACAAGGTCATAGACCCATAGTACTCAGATTATTTATGTACATATATATGTCTATAATAAATATTATTTTTCAGTTATTGAATATATACATGTATATATCAATAAATAATAACAAGATGGAGTGCCAGTAGAGTTAACAATGAATAACAATTATACCTGTCTAGAACACAACGCCTCCTCTATATACAGTGCTATAGATATCAATAATGATTTATCTCTAACAGTGCATAATTTATATAGAAGATTTACAACATAATAATATCTAATGCAGTCTGGTGGAAGATATTTAACTCTTAAATCAGACAGATTGTTACAAGTAAAGCATTTATCAATATGCACTTATAAATGAATATCATTGAACTATTATTAAAGAGTTTACGATTATGGTTGAATAAAACCACTCTTCTTTTTAATTAACATGTGTAACAGTCAGAGCAGGGTAAAATTATACAAAATATTGATATTTATCTATATGCAGTTATATTTCTTATTATCAATAATTGATTAGTGAAATATTAATAAATTTCTAAAGTTTCTTGGGATGTAAATGACATACAATACTTACTGAATAATTTTATCTACATTTACATCAACTGTAAGATAATAATGTGGAATCGTCTGTTTGGATTGAGTTAATCTTTTAGCTATAACCTAAAAACAAAAATTACATAAGTCATAAAATAGGTGCACATTAATGTCTACAGCAATTCAAAAGGGGAAGGAGGGAGAGATTTAACATCCAGTCAACACAACAGAAATCAGGTTATTTGGGACTAATATATGGTAATCTTTATTTCAATAATTTGTTTGCGTGTAGGGGTCTTTTGGCAGTAAGAGAAAACTGGATTTGTCCAAAACATTATATTAATTAGTCCTATTCTGAAAAACAATTCCTGTTGATCATTCAATTTATTTTTATCTTATTTATATTAAGTTTTCTAATTTTATGTTCTCTTACCCAATGAATGAATGAAATGGGGTTTAATGTCTGAATTAGGTTTATATATGACTAGATATACAAAGGATTTTTAATATTATGAAAACCAATGACTAGATTTAGATGAGCTACCTGTCTAATATTAGATAATGGTGTATCTGTATACGATGCACCAGGTACGGAAGTATATCCTGCAGCACCAGGTGTAAAGTTTAATATATCATCAGCTTGAACCTGTCCATCAGCTCCAGAACCTTTTACTTGCTGTAATTAAATAAAATATTTAATAATTAAACAAGAGAGAAATTGAGATTAACATCCGCTTGGCCACATCCTTTTGGGACTAATCTATATAGGATATTTTTATTTCAGGGGTCTTTAGAAAAGCAAGGATACTGGAGTACTTGTACCTGGAGAAACAGGGCTGTCGGTAATTTTTCACAGATGATTAGCAGCACTGCTAATCAAAAAGTCCAATTTTGCCAAATTTGATTAGCAAATTTAAAAATTGATTAGCAGTTTTTCAGTTTCAACATAAAACACCTAAATAACAAGATTATTTTAATTTTAATTGATAACAAATGATTAGATTTCATTCTTAAGATTTTTTTTGAATTTTAGAACTTCTACTGTGAACATTTCTGAATGAATGTAGACTTTTGGTTAGGCCTTATGTCTGAAGCAAATTCTTGGCAGTGGCTTCTTATTTCTTCGTTAAAAAACAATTTCGTCTGCTTTTTATCGTGTGTTATTATTTTTGTTCAATCGGAAGCACGCAGTATTTTACGAATAATCTCGATTAACTAGACGCACGCGATATAAACAATAATAGTTTACGGGAATTCTTACTTTGATTTCTCATTTTACAATAAGTTTACACGTATTTATTTTTTATATTTTATTTACAATACGTGGGGGATACACTGAATTTATTTTTTTTCAAATTGAATACTGATATAATTACTCGAAATTGGCATGTCTCGCAACGTGAGTGGTACTACTTGATTCCCTATTTCCGGTTTAATCGTCCCGATTCATAGAGTTATGTCCCTGTATTATATAGCATAATGAATTGAATCTGGGTAGTTCGAGAAGAAAATGTCACACGGAGAATTCCGCTTTGTTTATAAAATTTATTTGATATTTTATACACGTTGAAAGTGTTGATAAATGTGGATAAATCTTTGTGTCAATATCCAAAATGACAGGCATATTAATGATTCGCAGTTACTGCGAATCAAAAACGTTAGATTTTAATTTTTGATTAGCAACGGACAAAATATGTATCGCAAATTGCGCTGCGATACTGGTTGTCGGCAGCCCTGTGGAGAAACCCATAGAGGTTAAACAGGCAACAATACTCTTTGTCATAAACTAACCAGAAATCAGACCTTATGATCTACAGTGAATATGTAGGACCACTCAACTGCTAAAATAAAGGGACATAATTAAAAAGTCAATTATCGAGTCTATGATTGCTAAAACAGCACATTCCTCAAGTGTGAATTGACAGTAATGTCATATTCACCTATGAAGAGAGCACATCAACAAACGCAACAAATATGAATAAGGAATTTGGACAAATGTGGATAAAGAATTTGGACAAATGTGGATAAAGAATTTGGACAAATGTGGATAAAGAATTTGGACAAATGTGGATAAAGAATTTGGACAAATGTGGAAAAAGAATTTGGCGAATGTGAAGGATTTTTTTTTCGTTCAAACAGTGAGTTTCAGTGCCAGGCAAATCAGTCAATGCATATGTATGAGTATCAATGATTGTTTTTAATTAATCGATGTCAGCACTATGAAAGACTAGTAGCTTTTAGTAAATATAAAAATATTACTTACATTTATATCTATTCCTTTTTCCTTGGCTAGAGTTCTAGCATAGGGTGTTGATAACACTCTAGTACCAGATGGTTGAGCTTTGGGAGAGGCTGCTGACTGAGCTGGTGGAGAAGGGGCAGATTTTGCAGGAGTGGGGGAGGGTTGTTTGGGAGCTGGAGCAGCAGCAGGGGGAGCGTCCGGTTTACTGTCTTTAGCTGCTCCTGGAGACTCATCATCACCAGGTTGGGGTTTGTAATCTTTAAATGCTGCTACATCATCTTCTTCTTCTACTATAATACAAATTAACTGAAAAACGAGAAAATTGGTATCGACGTCGTTTTTACTCTGGTGTTAATAAATTTGTGTATGGTTATAGAGTATTGCTCACACAGCAGTATTTACACCTACTCTTCTTTGTTTTCTCACAATCAAAGGATCTTTGATGTGCATGCCAGTTTGTATATGGGTGAACCTCGTACTTTTTTTTAACATCAACACAAGACTACAAAAATCATGGTTAATAAGATCAACTTAGAATAGTGAATCGTATTGTCTATAAGATCAACACATAATTATAAGATCAACACATAATTATAAGATCAACACATGATTAAGAACCATGCTGTCTAGAGGTCAACACATTACTGAGAAACATGTTTTTTTGTAAGATCATCACAACATCTTCATTATCGCATCAAATATTACCTTTCCAATAGGCACATCTTTTGAGCCTTCTGGTACAAATATTTTAGCCATGAAACCATTTTCAGATGATTCGAAACCCATGGTAGCTTTATCTGTCTCTATTTCTGCTAATAAATCTCCATCTGATACTTTATCACCTTCTTTTTTTGACCAGCTAATAATTGTACCAGATTCCATAGTAGGTGACAGCGCAGGCAATACAACTTTGAAATGATTTGGTAAATCTAAAATGCATAATATGACAATTAATATAAGAAATCTTGGTTTCCTTCAGTTGCTAATTATGTTTCTGCTCTGATTTTTATATAATCTGAACTCCTTGAAAACTGCTACTACTACCACATGTACTAGTTCTACAAAGTTATAATATATTCAACATGCAATGAAACTTACAAATTTTATACAATGTAACATGTCTATATTCTCTTATATTATGCATACTCTAATTAATAAGAGCATCCCCACTGTAAACTGTTCAGTCAGATATCTCAAAGCTTTCATAATGTTTCTGAACTTTAAATTAGTTCACTCACAACATGGCATACGGTTCCCCTCTGCAGTATTTTCATAACCTTTAACACCAACCTACTCTTACCAATAGCATATTTTACTAAATCTATGGTTTTTGTAATACAGGTACATACCTGAGCTATAGAACCTAGTTGCCTGATATTTCCATAATGTAGCACCATTTTTTGAGCTAATTAACTTCATCCTGAAATCACAGAGGAATGAGAATTTTATGTGGAAACACTAAACTGAGTATGAATTAAATCATCTACCAAGACAGAAAAATACTAATTTGAGTTGTACCTTTATTGGACATACAGCTTGGCACCACAGGTTGGTATTAACAGTTTTATTGATTTGAATCATCAAAATCACATGTCAGCTAAAAATGTAGAAATATGCCAATACTGCATGTACATGGGTGGATAATTTGTCGAGAAGTTTGTTGAGATGAGTCTTTGGAAACGTGCATGTTAATGCTTCTGCATGTATATAAATTGTCATGGGCCTCATCAATGCGACAATCTGAAACTTATATAGTCTAAGACTAATCACATTAATCATTATTGTGACTGAATTTCATTTCTAGTTCTAATCTTACTCTACAACATGTAATTATGACAACTTGTTGTAAAGTTCGTCAGATAAAATGTGTCTATGTGAGGATAACACAAAAAGGACGCAAGGAAGTGGTTCAGATATTTCATTTAAAGTAGCTAAGTCTCTAACTAACTCAATATCATCAAAAATCTTCGACATTGAAAACACGAATTATTTGTCAATTCAAATCAACATTGGTCTTGTGATCTTACAGGGAAAAGAAGGGCTTCTGATATCCAATATTCAAGACAAAATAAACATTTTACTATTGGTACATGAATCATGTACCATAATGCGTTTCAGTGCCATTTGGAACAACGGACTCGAAGAACAGGGCTAATCATATTCCACAAGTCACGTCAAATGGTGACGCTATATTCTTATCTGGAGGGCATGCACAATAAATACCATCGGTGTAGACTGGAAAAACCATACGCTAAAGATTGCCATTCACATGAGACTTCTGGCGTATTACAGTTACAGAAATTACAGTTAAAACAGAAACGATTGACATTCATATTACATTATTATATGCGTTGTTTTTTGTCAATTTCTAGGTCCCAAATATTAGCGATTTAGCTCCTTTAACAGTTTTTGTGCTGTTCATGTTTTGGTGTATGAAAAAACACAGTTAGGCCTAGATGGTCTGTCATCCAATCAATGCATATTTTTATTTTATAATATAGATGTATCTTTTTATCTGAATGTAGGCCAAACCTTACCTCTGTCCGCCTGAAATTCGCTGAACTATTCTTGTGCAGACACAGCGCATCGTCCCTTTGTTCATTCGGCTCCATGATGCCTGTCTCACAATGCCTCTTGCAACAGCAGACGACCGAAACATGATGAAAACAACCTCGAAATCCCAAAATTTTGACTTCTTCGTCCACCGGCAAGGTCGATGTCAATTTCATCCACAGTTTCGTATCGAAAATGTAGAGCTAGATACTTTTACTTCAAAGCCGTTATTTAACCTAATTAACACGTTTAGTGTTGTATGCTTGTTAAATAATGGGTGTTTTATATATAAATAGTCATATTTTTGGTTCGATTTTCGCAAAATTACATTTTACTATCAAATTGAAATCCCGTGACATGACGCGAGATTTCACATCACCAAGTATTTGTTTACAAATGGCTGCCAGCCGTCATCTGTTCTCATTTCGTGGATAAACAGTGGTGTTTACTAACATCTAAATCATGCCTGCAGGTAGTTTATACATGTATCTAAATTTATATTGTATTTTTGTAGTATATGGTATAACATTTGTTCTGCCACTAGCAGTTTTTGCGAGATATATCAGTTAAATATTACTAATTAGCCTAATTTAAATGTGAATGTAGGCCTAATGTAAAAAAAAACCAAAAAAAACTTATATCAATCATCACATCAGTGAAATAATTAAGTCCGGTAGCCTATTGTTTCGCTGACAGCATTTTTTTAGGGAAACATTTCAGTTAAAAAGGCAAACTTTTGCTGCAATGAAGCCCCCCCAAAAGCTGTGTGAAAGGCAGGTTTTGTGAATTTATTTTTCCAGTTCTGCATCGCTTACAACAGAACTGTCAGAACAGAAGCTAGGCTAAGTTAAAGTAGCTAAGTCTCTAACTCAATATCACCCAGAACCTTCAACATTGAAAACACAAATTATTTGTCAATTGTAATCCACATTGGTGTTGTGATCTTACCGGGAAAAGATGGGCTTCTGATATCCAATATTTACGACAAAATAAACATTTTACGATTGGTACACGAATCGTGTAATCGTGTACCATAATGCGTTTCAGTGCAATTTGTAGCAAGCGACTCGAAGAATGAGGTTAGACATATTCCACAAGTCATGTCAAACGGTGACCCCATATTCTTATCTGGAGAGCATGCGCAATAAATACTATCGATGTAGACTGGAATAACCAGACGCAGAGATTGCCATTCTATTGAGACTTTTCGCGTATTTCGCCGAACATAACTCCTTTGAAATTAGAGTAAAAACGGAAACGATTGAATGTAAATCAGTTTATATACATCGATATTACATTCTTATGTGCATTACGATCCATTTGTGTCAATGTGTAGGTCCCAAATATTAGCGATTTAGCTCCTTTAAGTAACAACATGCAAAGATACTCCATTTGTTATTATTATTTAAGTTGCTAAAATGAATGATTTAGCAGGCTAATTGGTTATGATTAACAAGATGGTTATTGGTACAAATTGTAGCCAAAGACCAGCCAGATCTAAATGTGGTCATATTGGGATATAAAAATGGCTTTAAATATTTTTTTTTTTATTTTTGATAGAAAAGAAGAAAGATAAAAAGAAAGATGACACACCACCAGAAAAGCAGACAGGTGTTTACATGTTTGCTAATGGTGATAAATATGGTAAGATAAATAAAATAGCATAAATAAAATTGCCGTAGCAGTTAATTATAGACTCCCCTCAGTGTCAAAAATCCAATCTCTTAGAATAGGGTGTTTTGTTTAAGCCTTTGTTTAATTCCATGAAACCATACCAACTAAGTGGACTATAAATAGTTGTTCAAATTTACCAGACAGTTCATATCAGAATAAATGTGCGTAATGTGGGGCTTACGATCTGCTGTGCAATGCTGTGGGCTGTACGACAATAACACGCTGGATCAAACTCAAAGTAGAGCAATGGTTGAGAAGAAATCTCAGTTGTAAGGGATTAATGCCTGCAGAGCTGGTCATAGGACAACTCCAAATCAAGAGTTGATTTAACTCCTTCAATTGAACCCTTCCATTGATGAGCCATTATCATTGTTGACTGAATCACTGGCGAAATAAATGTATGTTAATGATTTAAAGTAGACCTTATATTAACTGCTCGAGTGAATCAGAAGAACTAATATACTGAACTGATGTCAAGGGTTAGTAAGGCAACTTAAAACCTTAGCTAGAGAAGTTGGCAATGGAATTGTCTCTTGTCACACGGATTGACAGAAAACTTGAATGATGCCTGATACCACTAGTTGAACTTTTCCCTTGCAATTCATTTGCAAGCATATATATAGTATCAACAATAAATTTTGCTCACTTAAATTATCAATGTCAAAACTATTGTATATATGAAATGTCATCCGAGTTCATTTTTGGGGAATTCAAAGTTTATATTACATATGCAATAAATCTAGTTTTCGAATTATTTACAGATGGAGAGTTTATTTTATCTGATGGATCTTTAGAACGCCATGGAAAAGGGCTCCATGAAACGCCTGGCGGTGTGCGGTATGAAGGAGAATGGGATAAAGATAAGATGAATGGACAAGGTCGTTTAATGCACGCAACTGGTTCTATATATGATGGAGATTTCATCAACAATAAATTTAATGGTTTTGGAAAATATACCTGGCCCAATGGATCATACTACGAAGGACAATTTATAGAAAACAGGTAAATGTTTCTCATTTAGCTGGAGTTGGCCACATGTAATATAATAATAATAATTTTCTAGAGGGCTGAATATTCAGTCAGTTTGACTGCTCTGTGGTGCTTTACAAAGGCTATAACATCGACAACAAGCACAAGTAAACCAAAATTATTAAACACAAACTTGATACTTTTCATACACAAAACATAACATAAATTTAATTTTGATAAGTAATCTGAAAATATTCTGGACAGGTTTGGGTATTTTATTTCACTCTTTTAAATGCTCTTTCACCAATCTGATTAAAACACAGCTCCAATTTCGTTTTGTTTTTATAGTTCAAAATTTCTATTTTACTTGTCTTTACTACACTTGGATCTGGAAACGTTGTTCTGCTTGAAATAGGGATCAGCCAATCAAATGGTCTGTCGAATTGAGCGTTTGACCTTTTTTGCGCGAAACTGTGGGTAGACATTAGCGGCAATAGATATCAAAACAAAGCAAAAGTAGATGAAAAATACATGGCCGTCGCTAATTGGTTAATCGATTGACTGATGTAATCGGGTCAAATGTCACTTGCTTGGTACCTGACGTCATAAAACGTGAACTCCCACTATAACTTGTTAGATATACATGTAGTGTAGGCCATGGAAAGTATAAAAAACGAAACGAAATATAGATCTATATTTTAATTAGATTGCTCTTTCACCAAGTTTGGATTTAGGAACAGTATTAAAAGTTTGCAACTGGGCATAAACGTTTAAATTTAAATAAACAGTAATGATGCTCTCCTGGCCAAAATCTACACTATGTGATTAAAATGAGGAAATAAGTTATTTTATAAATTTTATTTACATCTATTCACAGATTAGAAGGTGAAGGTCAATTTACTGATACAGAGGGTCAAGTTTGGACTGGTACATTCCGATATAAAGCAGCACCTGGTTTACAATTTAAACTGGCCCTTGATTAACCAGTAAACTCCAAAAAGTTAAATTTGCAATTGAAAGATATGAACTAAAAAAGATAATGTGATATGAAACTCAGTGATTACTCAAATATCTGCTTGTTTAATTCAACAAGCCTGTCTGTTATTTTTTATACCCTATTTACGAATGAATTATGTACATTTATCAACCCTCTACCAATGGATGTCCCCCCCCCCCCACAGCCACGTCCACGTTATTAACAAAGTAGCAGTCTAACTCCATCAGATATTGGTTTATTGGAACAGCTTTAAGTCCACTATGTTCATAGTATGCTTTACATTTTGAAAGACATTTAATAAGCTTCACAACTAAACTGTACTTGTATGGTATTCAGCTAAACTAAACTTGTAGTGTGTGTTCATCTCCGTAGTATAAAAGATATGTCCAGTTAAACTATGTATAAAAGAAAGCCTATGTGAATTTGTTTCATTTTATTTATTATATTGTTGTACATTAATATTATATTAAACTTTTTTAATATTATACATAAATATTGCCAAAAATATAAACAGGTTATGTTACTTCCAAATTTATAAAATGAAATAAAATGGGGTTTAACGTCCTACTGTTCTGCTCCGACTGGGCTAATGAAGACGGGATTGAGGGAAATTTTGCCGGACAGCTGCACTATGGCTTACACTTATAATATCGAATTCCAACTGCCAATGTGTACACCGGACCTTGGTTTTCGTCCCATCTGAATGACTATACGTTGTCCCTTGACCGGCCCTCCGTCCTACACCACTGACAAAGGGGAACCATACTGGAAAATCCTGATAAACTTTCTTGGCGAACGCAGGGATCGAACACGGGACCTCCAGGTTAACGTCCTCACTTAGCCACCGTGGCTCCCTCCAAATTTATAAATGTGATACATCTGATGTGTAAAAAATAGTAGGATGTCTATCCGACTGCTAAACGTGACCCTGGTCGCGTATACACCTTGAATTAAACCCACACGCTTGTCTCCATGACAGGACCTTCTGATCTTAAGTGCACACATTAGACAACTCCCCTTAATTTGTTGAGCTGCATTAGATAACTTTAAGTACATGAGGCAGGGTATGCTTACTCTTTTCAGAACACCTTATACCACAAGTCACTTGGCTAACTTTGACATTTTGGATTATCTGTGTTTTGTATTTTCGTTAGGTAGTTTGATAAGTACAGTCTGTTAGTTCTTGTAGAATATGTGACAGTATGCCTATATCCAGTGAACCATAAGCCTCAACTACCCAATGTGATTAGTTAGCCAGAAACCAAACGTAACCGTTTCTCAACATTCATGCTTCTACACCTAAGATTTTTACTGTTTGCCCGACTGACTATCAACTGTTTTGGAATACTATGTTTTTTGACAAACACTGCCATTTTGTAAAACTTGTTTATATAGGCTGATATATTGAGAAGTTTTCCTTGTTTTTCTCACTATAAAGTCATCACAGAATGTTCGCTTGTTGCTAAGGGATGGAATGGTTGCTAGATGTGGTATAGATCGTAGGAATCCAAGAACAAAATCAAAACAGTTATTGTTCATGTCGTGATACCTGTAAATAAGTAAAAATGTCAACATTTAAATCTAATAGAGACTGATAAAAATTGGGTTAGGTCTAAAAATTAAGGCAAAGTGCAGATTTGGTCAAAGGTCACGAGATGTAAACAGGGCTAGCACTAACACTAACCCTAACCATAGACCTTACCATAACCCACAAACTCACATCTCGCGCCCTAGACGAAATCTGCAGTTGGCTCTAATTTTTAGACTTTACCTAAAAATTGTTCCCCGACATCCTAAAAATGAAGAATAGGTTGGTCTGTCAGTCATTTTGAGACTAATATATGGGCCCATGAGCTGGAATGTTTGTTAGGTGTGGTATAGATCGATGTAGTACCCATTAATATGAGCCGCAAGATCACTTCAATGTGCCATATGTGCAGACAGATGTTGATGCAACTAGCACCACACGGTGGAATATAAGAGATAACCCTAGAAAGCAACAGTGTCATGCCCACACTATAGGAAGTACATGGGAGTTCTCCAGCCACTACCTTCAATCGTTCAGTCCAGATGTTGAAATGGCTTAGGCTCAGAGATTACAAATTTGTAACTCATTTTCAGGACTGGCTTGATGGAATATAGCAATGGAAAATTTTGATAATGTTTAAAGATGTAAAAATACAATGAAGGGAAGAATTTTTTAAAGGGCAATTTTAACTACCCAATGATCTGTCAGAAGTGTTTTTTTTTAGTTCAAACTGAAAGACTATAATTATAGACACATTTTAGCCATGATGAATAAAGTTCTGTTTAGCCAATATTGAGTTGCTACCCCAGAACCATTTAGTTATTTAAAATCCATTTTTATAGGTACTCTGCTGAACAATGTGATGGGGGAAAAATTTCAAAGCTCATTTTTACCATGACGAGCAAACCAAAATTCTAGCTAGACGACCATATCAATAGACAGGAGAAAACTAAATTTTATACCAGTTTACCTTGTTGGTGTCCAATTGTTTGGTTTAGCATAGTAGAATAATCTATTATCCCAATCACTGATATCTATGTCACCAGGAGACAACACAGGCACCTGAATACAGCACAACCATGGTGATCCAACATGGAGACCATGTTCATCAAAATCATAAACTGCGCCTATAATAAAAAATTATGAGGCTGCATGTTGTAAAATAAACAATATGCATTTAATTAATTCTAACTTAACACTGAGATGTCGATTTTAAAATCTAGATTGTAATGGAACACAGCCTCCTCAGTACTAGCCTAGAGGTTATGTATGGCTGTATGAGGCTGGGTAAATAACCAGTGGTCCCCATCTTCAATAGAAGGCCCGATCTCATTTTAACTCCGTACATACCTGCATATTTCCTCACTAATTTCGATTAACTACTGACCCAGCCGGGGACCTCTAAGATTCTGCTAAGTCTCGCGCTTTCCAACTAAAATGTCTACCTGTGATAATCGAGTTGCATAGTTCAAGGTTCAGTCAATGTCAAGTTTTCCGTGGAGGTCGTCAATGTTTGATTTGAGTGTGTTTGTGTTAATTACGGCCTCTGATGGGAAAAAGTTGTTGTTCACAGGTCTGTGGTAAAGAGAGATAATGTACCTATAAGTTCGAGAATTTCAGACTAATCTAGCAATGGCGAGATGTTGAAAACTCGCGGTCGTTGCTTCAGGAACATGAGAGGTCCTAGACTCGATCTCGATGTTGAATTTATCTAACAGCACACTGCATTGTCCTGCCTCACTGAGGAACTATCTCGGCCACCACTGGGAATGATCCTGAGACCTCCTGGTTGGTGAGCCAGCGCCTTAACGAGCCACTGTGGCTGCTTAATTTTCAAACCAAGAGATAAACAAAACAAGGTAATTCAATTCATACTCTTATTTTAACAGAATATTACCTGTGCTATCTGTCACTCCAATATGCAAGTTTGAAGTCTTTGTAAAATCACTGAAATGGAAAACAATAAAAATGGTACAAAACGTGTGTGAATCATGAATTCATTCTGGCAGACAATGAAGAATAAACATACAAGAAAACACAAACAATATCTGAACATAGCTCAGGTAATAATTTTAGGGTGGGAAATATGTCACTAAGTCATACATTATCATACATAACAGAACAAAAACAAGCCTCACCATATAAAATCACCATCAGTTGGTTTCAGAACTAGACTGCTTGGCCATTTTGTAGCTGCTGCTATAGGTGATGGCAAAATGTATGGAGGTATGCGACTCTCGGTTTCTGATGTATTCTTTCCACATAGTGGACAATGTTCAGGTACATTAAAACAAATTATATTAGTTGATCGATCACAATGCTGGAAACATCGCAATTCTGATTGGTTGTGCATGTTAAGTCTTTATTATCTAAAGACCTGGAAAAATGAAGACATCATTATTTTACTTTCATAAAATATTTCTTAAACTAAAAAAATATATTCGACCACTTATTTTTATCTGAAAGTTAAAGGGCCAATCCCGATAATATTTTTGAGAATAAAACTGCTTAATTTTGTGTTAAAATCCCTTAAAATCGTCTACCTTAGAGTTGAGCAACTAACTCAATATATGTGATACGTTTTCAAACAACTTAAACCTGCCAGTCTTCATTTGTAAATGGAGACCCGCGTCCCAAGCTGTATTATGCGGTGTCTGGATAAAACCAGACTTTTATTTTATATAAATAACGTGTAGGTGAAATATACCTTTCGTTATCAAGTACAGCACGTAGGTCATGCACTGTACAGACCTCTAAAGGAACGGGAATCGATTATCAGGTCACCTATCGAAAAAATTGACCCGAAATCTTAAAAGAGTTACGTGTCCGGATAAGCAGTTTTGACGTTCACGTCCAAACGACTTAATATTTTGAGCTAAAAATTTGAGACATGGTAAATACGCCATTCCTTTACATTTTGGCGTTTAAATTTCATACGTACTCGGACTTTTATTTTTGAGACTCCTTTCAAATCGGGATAGTCCCTTTAAATACGATTTACCTAAATCTACCATTATTCTAACTCATATCACAATATTGATATTTGATAATATACTATGCTTATAGTGCAAATTTGTCATTTTCAGTCGAAAATGCCCAACAAAATGTGATTACAAGCAAGTTTGGAAGTTGTAACCATAGGACATAACTCATGTAGGCCTAATACACGAAATTGCTTGCTTGGAAATCGCATTTTTAAATTAGAAATGACAATTTGGAATAAAGAACGGTATGGTAGACTATATTATCAAATATAGATATAAATCATTAAGATGAGTTGAAATAATTGTGGATTTGCGTAGAATTGGGATGAGACCAGACTACTATATTCTGGTAAATCAATAGAAAGTCAGCTATTATTATCATACCATGGCCTATATAGTATAGGCTTTACTAGTAAACTATAGTAGAAACTAAAGAACATTATTATATTCCTTGCCTACTATAGCGTAACTTAAGATGCCCGAAGGTTATACTTATAGACTATAGTTGCGAGTAGAGATGAAGCCGAACTAAAATTACCAGTACCAGTACTGAAAAAAAGAGACAAGGATCCATTACACACACATGTATTGCTATAATTATATTTAAAATACAGATGTGACGACATCCTTTGATGATCGTGTAGGCTATACCATTATTTCACATACTGGTACGGGCAATGTGCCAAGCGTCCATTATTTATACTAGTTGAATTATTGGACCCGTGTGATTTCATTGAAATGCATGTGCTGGATAGTGTCTGTATTTTAAGTTGATTAATGGTCTCCTGCAAGACATTGTGTAATACTAATACCGTATAGATTATATAGCCCTTGTGCTAAACGCACTTGAGCAATATCAGTATATTACTTAATGTCTCCCACTCGACAATTAAACTACTCTTGGATAGAATAAGCAGCCACTGCCCTGGTAATCCAACAAGTTGGATGTTAATTACTTCCCCTGGTGCTCTGGACTTCAACACTTGACTGCCCTGGCTAATAATCATTTTGATTATGATAAAAATAATTATTGTGATTTTTGCCGTATATGGCTATTTAATGTGAGTTGTTGTGAATCAAGGGTGTGGATAGTTTTAATACCACACTCTGGCGTACCATGAATACATAAAAGCATCTGCTTAACTAACTTTTAGGGAGGATTGCGAATTTTATTTACCTTGAATCTTGAATAGTTGCCATCTTTTTAAGCCATTATTTGGAGTTATCTCCCTTAGACCAGAGACACAAAATTGTTGTCATTTTTGGGTATATTACTGGTAGGCTGTTAAAAGGCAGAATGGCCATCACGGATCTGTGAAACTTGCTTGGTGGGTGGTGCTTACCGGTACCAGGAAAAGTATAGAAAGAAATAAAGAAAAAAAGAATTAAATTGACAATCGAAAAGTATCAAAAATTTTAATCAAATGTTCGCGTATTGAGCTTTATTTAATAGTGGGCTTTATATATATACCAATACGCGTCTGTGTAATGTACGGACAGTACAGTGACAAACACTTGGCATTTGCGAATTGTCATTTCAGATTCAGCACTGAGGTTCAATATTTATTAGCACACGTAGGCTGTGACAAAGATCGCTAAGCAGCGCTAGTCCCCAGAGAATTTTTTGGACTTGGCCATTCTTGGCCATCAAAACGTCAGTGCAAAGAAGACAGTCATTAAATACTTATATTTGTTTAGTTTTACTTCTAAAAAAAGAGGGCATCATGGGTGCTTGCGCGTAGGGGTCTTTAGCAGTGGAGGAAACCGAAGGACCCGGAGAAACCCCACTATGCTGGACAGGCGACCCTACTTCGTTCCATGTACAACCGGGGAATCGATGCTGAAATTGAAAACAACATCGAACGTGATATGGTTGGCAAATACCATTTCAAATATAATCTAAACAACATTTGTTCATTTTTTTTAAGACAAGTGAAGGATTTGGAGAATTTTATTTGATTTTTTTTCACAGTTAAGCCAATATTGATATTTATATACAGTTGATCTGTATTCTATTACTGCTCTAACAAAATATCACTTTATAATGATAACATTTTTCTTGAAATGGTTCAAAGATATAAATTTAGAAACCACATATTATGGGGATGAAACAGTCTTTAAAGGAGATCGGGTTAATCGGTCCATGTGGATAGCGATGCCGTTTCTATTTCTGATGCCTTCATTATACCGACCTGACTAACTTTATGCTAGTTTTTGTTCCAACAATATATTATTTAAGTTGCATAAAGCGATACGGAATTTCATAGACAGCGGTGTTCTTAACGAAATTAACCCAAAATGAAATTGGGTCTGTCGTCCTACTTTTCTATACCATATACTTACGCCATACAGTGTGCCATGTGTGGAATTTAGCCCGGACAGCGCTGCCACGACTACTTTTATTACGTATTACAGCTGCCAATGGTTTTCGTCCAATCCGAACGGCTAGACATTGCCCCTACCTAAAATAACGGAAGTCTCCGCAAATCACAGGGACGGATCTAATAATTTAATATGTATACAAGCTGGCGATGTTATAGGCCTATAACCCATAGAAATATATTTCTGTGATATAACAGATTTCTTCCGGCGTGATTCTCCCTCCCTTGTCATTGATACAGGACGGGGCCCTGGCACGAACAGTAGTGGCTAGTAGTTTGGATGGTATAAAGAGACATTTTTTAGTGCAGTAATAGAGTATAGATCAACAAATTTAATTCTCCAAATCCTGCACTTGTCTTAAATCTTCTAATAACTGTAGCCTCTATCACTGCCCCCAAACAAACATGGTGACGGCATAATATTGTAATGTGGGTCTATACACATTTGGTTTTGATATGGAAGTAAAGGCTTATGATAATCAATATTTTTTCATAATTAAAATTAGATAGGGATATTAATTTAGTGCAGTTGTCTACTACCCCTGCGATGCTGTTGGGGGTTTTTTTTGTTGTTTTTTCTAAAATGTATCTTTGGCCTCTAATACTCCAAATGATAATCAAAGTTTATGAACAGCGTACAGAAGGGAACCCGACCATTTATCCTATGCGGAAACGAGTTGGATACAATACGGATAGCATATTGGTCCCAGATAGACACAAACGATAATGGTTCCACGAAAACACAAATGATGTAAATGGGGGTAATATCTATGTGAATGCCACCCTGGTCCCGTCACATGGATATATTGGCCCCAGATACACCAAGCTACTTTTGGTATTCTGGCTGATTCCATGTGAATATCACGTTGGCCCAAAATACAGTGATACATGAAGTATATTGTCTGATTATGTATTGTATTAGTACTTTTACTTTCTATTAGATTCGAGTCTTATGTGGGACGAAAATGGGGGACCCAGATTGCAACCCTGTACTATCATAATGGTACACAGTTCAGCTGACTAATTCGACAAAATTGAATTACGACCGTAATGGAAAGCATTCTGAAAACAGAGACCCGCAACCTAACGAGCAAACACAGTTAGCTTTCATTTAGTTTTCGAAGTATAGTCTCGTACGAATGGGACCTTGTACTAGGCGCCCATGAAAGGCTAAGCAAACCTATTCTCGTGTGGGCATATTATATATCGCCACCATGTCCGTCGATCTGTCCGTCAACAATAAATATTGGCCTGCTAACGCGATATAGGCCACATCTATTTGGGGGATCCTTTTCAAATTTTGTGTAAAGCATATTGGGGTCGTGAGGGGAGGATGGACCCTATCGATTTTCAGCGTTTCGTGACTTGTTTAACTGATTCTTTTCTTCTTTGGAAATGAAATGTTGTTTAATGGCACGTCAGCTCCAACCGGGATATATTGCGCCAAACATATGGTGAATTTTCGTCTTTGGAGTGAAACACTGTGGTCATGAGAGGACGAACTCTATCGATATTCAACATTCCTTGTGAACGCGATAGAGGCTACATTTATTAGGCGATTCTTTTACATTTTGGTGTTAATAAGCATTGTGGCTATTAGAAGACAAATCCTGTGTATTTTCAGCTTTCTGTGGCTTTCAGTTTCAGGGTTATCCCCCTTTGCTGAAATATCAAATGTGGTCAAACGAAGTTTTCCATTCGGATAAGCTACTGTGTGGACGCATTCCCACGCTTTGCGTGATATCTTTAAATGCATTTTCTATGTTACAAGCCACTGTAAATTATATTTCTGGCCAAATAAAAGTGACTGCATAAGTTTGCTTTGTTCTTCATTTATTATGCAATTTAAACAAATTCAGCAATGAACAAAAGGGGGGTCACGGTGGCTAAGTGGGAAAGACGCTGACTCGCTATAGCCTGAAAGTCGGGTGTTCGATCCCTGCATTGACCGAGAAAGTTCGCCCCGGAGGGCCTGACAAGGACAGATGTCTAGTCGTTCGGATAGTACGAAAAATAGAGGTCCCATGTACACAGTGGCGTGCACGTAAAAGATCCCTTGACAGTTGGAATTCGATATAAGAGTAGGCTTCATAGCACACTGTATGGCGCAGGCTATGCCCGTCTTCATTAGCTCAGTTCGGCGCAGAACAGTAGGACGTTAAACCCCATTTCATTTCATTCCATTTTGCAATAAACAAAGAGGCCGAAATCATGACTATACCCATGTTGTCTTTGACGCTTGCTACGGCCAATATCCGAACCACACAATCCCCGCGGCTGCGCTGTGCAGTGTAATAGCCACTTGGATGTGCCCCGCCTCGCAAGAGATATAATACAACAAATCTATTTTATAATTTTATTTTATTACTTCTGTAGCCATTTACTAAGAAAAGTAAGTAATACTAAGGAAACGTCTGTCCAAATTGAAACACCACTCAAATAACATCAATGGTTTGATCCAGTCCATATCCTACCGTTTCTTTGGAAAAGAGTCCATCATTCAAAGGTATGTTTAATAATTTGGCAGACGAATATTTCAGCCTTATAGATGACTATGATTAAATGACATTTCATAGAAATTTAAATGTAGACAAAGATTCCACACTGTTGGGCTAAATCATTATGAAATGGCAGTCCTGCAAAACACCACGTCGAATTGAATGCACGCATTTACAATAGAAAACGGTGTTTTATTATCTATTACAGATCTAATTCCAAAATGCCTAATTGCAAACGATAATTCTCAACATGGCTTTACTTTTCGGGATTTTGCAGATCCCCCCGTTACAATTTAATTTCTCAAAATTTCCTTTTTGACTAACCCAATTAACAACACGTTAGTTTCACTGGGTATATGACGACATTTTAGCGTAGAGATACAATAAATATGTATGATAAATGTAAAAAGACATAGGGTCTACTTATAGCCAATATATATTGTAATAAATATACATACTAACATAAACTATATCCAAAGCTACAGACATTGAAATAGACTCTGAATTAAAACTTAATTGAAAATAGCTATAAACAATTCTATTGAAACATGTACATGATTTTAACATAACTAATGGATATATTACTCAAGATTATTTAACTGATAAAACTAAAGTGTCGAATTCCACCATTAACCGATGTTCCGCAACTATGTTAATTATTTTGTGCATTTCTAAAACAAATCAAGATACAATGAATCTAATTCAAGATAATACCAAACACTTTCAAGATAATATAATTCTGAAATATCCAATACTTTTCAAGATATGATGCAACCGTTTTACAGTAACATCAAGATAATATTCAAAACGAATAAGTCATGTTGTTGCTGTTTGACAAACGCAAAATACTGGAAAGCGGAACATTAGCGAATGCGTTGGAAGATCAACACTATAATTCTAACGGTTATATATCGGAATTTATTGTAGTCATGGTTCCAGTTTGAGATTGTGACACAGAATATGGGCAAATTCGAATACTTCGACTATTCAAAAATATACAGAGATAATATACAATTATGATAAATAACAATAAATAAATAACAATGCTATGTAACAAATAAAACAATTAAACTGGATAATCTGACTAAATGTGACAGTCTTGATTTTCCGAACATTTTTAATTATAACAAGCCAATTGACATAAAGTTTGTCGCCTTTTTGTCATTAACCGGAATTAAGCGGACACCACTCTATTCCGAAACATCCAATAATATAGATTATCCAGTCTAATAAAACATTAAAACAATGCGTTTGATTAAATTATATAACACATAATTTCATTGGATAATAATATGGAAACACAAAATTTACAGAAAACAAAGGGAAAAGATAGGCGAGAAAGGAAAGACGTGAAAAATGAAAAACAAGATGCGAAAACACAACAAAACATAATAAATAATGAAAACAGTTCATCAAAAATAAATCTCACATTACAACGAAACGAAATACGAAACGAAAATACCACATCGAAAACTCATTATATCTAGAAAATATATCAAAACGAAAAATTGATGAACCGAAATCAAAATTTAAAAAGATATAACATTTAATGAAATGTGGCATTTGCACATTTAAAAATTTAAATTTAAATCGTAAAACATTCAAGAGTATTAAAAGACGAAAACAGGGCTAGAAATAAGATTTGATTATTAAGAGTTGGCACAAATTCACGAAACGTTAGACGTACTTTGTGAGCACATTTTTTATATATTAAACCTACAAAACACACACGTACGGCGGTGCATAAATAACACCCAAGTCTGACCGAAAACAAAATATCTAAAATCAGCACGCTAAAATACTTACATCTTTATCACAATGAACCACTATTTATAAACTGTCAAAATTAACATCCCTGTTTGTTCGAATGACGTTTACCGGGTATACAATTTGCTCAATCTGGGAATACAATCCCTGTTTGTTCAAATGACGTTTTCCGGGTATACAATTTGCTCAATCTGGGAATACAATTTGGTTAATGTTTTCAATGCTAAGGAAGAAAATATTTTGCTCGGACATAATGCACGTCAACCTGTATGATTTTCGTGTTTTTGACTGTACTATGTTCGTGTGGGATTTGGGTCTCCCTGTTTGATACGTAGGTCACGTCATTGCCCGTTTGAACTTTATTACCAGTAGGATATGAACCAGTAATTTTTTTCCTGAATTGTACAACAATATAAATGTCATTTATGTTAAAACATCTCAAGGGTGTTAATTTTAACAACAAGGTTTTATCAGTGATTATACTGCTGAATAAAATATATACAAACACATAAGCCTAGATATTGCAATAATGTATCATCTATAGGCGTTCATTGCCATAAACACTGAAAACTGTATTTAAAATATAAACACCCGAACTTTACCAAGCGTACTGTATCGCGCACACAGTATGGGTTTCATTCTGAAGCCTTTGCAGAGTTTGAAAAATTGTCACAAACAAATTACGAAATTCACAATTTCATTGATCATAATGTTCCCAAATGTTCTTCTGATACATATAAAACTTTCTTTCTCGGAATTCTACACCCACAATCTACTTAAAAAATATATTCTATTCTAAAAGATAAATAAATTGACTTACGGATAAATTTACGCTAAACATTAACATAATTATAATGGGACTTTTTTGTGTCAGGGAGCTCCAAGATATGCTCGCTCATACGACACATTGACTATTTCTATGGGTTAAATTCCCCATGCTAAATATTGCACTGGTTAAACGAGCACATTGATATTATCTAGTCACTATCACTTTTTGAAATGTTTATTTAATAGCACATCCGAGCAGTCCAAGTTTTTATAGTTATAACTCTCCACATTTTCTTGTAATTTCAAATTTGAAGTTATTATAAAATGAAGTTATTGCAAATGTTTGAGTTCTTCTTAATTACCACCAAGTTAAATTTTAAGATTTCAGTAATCTAAATGAATTCAAATATTGATTGGCTTCGACACAATTTAGCACAAAGAAGCTCGAGGATAGGTACAATTAATTTCTTTTTAAAATCCGAGTTTTTTGTTCACATGCTAGATTATCGCCAAAACACACTAAATAAGTCTGAATATCCATCTTCATGAATATTCTGTAAAATGTATATACTTCAAGAAAATGCTTCACTGAATACTTATTTCCATTACGTCTCTTATCTACAAGTCGATCTACAAAACCCACAGCGTACAATGTTTTATTCACTAGGTCATAGGGTGATTTTCTAAAAGAATTTTAATTAGCAATTAGCAGAGTCACATTAAAACACTGTCACCCTCTACATAATTCAGGCCCTCAATAGAGGTATAGCTGAGTTCCGGTGCGAAAACCGGGATTGAAGATTTAGGATGGTGCTGTAGGATTTCTGCAAACGTTCGCTTTGATTCTCCAATTTATCTTTGAGATCGTGGAGAGTCTGGATCAACAGCTGTTTTCGGTGATTATGCAGCTGTTTCTGGAACCTTAGCTTCTCGTGCTTCTTGATTCGCTCCTCTTCCTGAGCTTCGAATATCTTCTGTTCCACAATCAACTTCTCCTGACGTAACTGATCCACTTTTTCTTCCAGACTCGACTTGATTTGATTCAAGGTGCGGCCGGTGCTCAGTGGAGGACACTGCTTAGCAAAGTAGAAGTCTTCGAACGATGCGTATCCTAAGTAATCTCGGATGACGTCCATGTTATCTCTAGGTTTTCGGATATCGGGTTTCTTTGCTTTTGTTCGACCAGAAGATCGGTTGTTCATGGATGAAAGTTGAGATTTGACGTCGTCCAATATATTGACCTTATTTCTGTGTTTAGATGTTCTCTCAGTGGGAGTTGATGTGGCTTTAGGGGTAATGTTCAACAGATCCTGAGAAGATACATTTTGAGACTTCATCTCCATATGCTCATCGTTTAATTCAATGGTCGGGCTGACGATATCGGGACATTTAAGCTGTGTGTCCCTCGGTGGGGATTCCTGCTTACCTTTGAAGCAGTTGTTATTTTGAACTTGTGGAACTTGTTTTGGACTCTCTGGTATGGGTTTGTAGATGATGGGACCGTTCTCTATAACCGGAAAATAAGTAGAATCAATGGGGTTCTTTTTTGACTTTAAATCAGCAGTCTTGGGGTGTCTTTCTTTAAATGGATCTTGCATGGGCATCACCTCGGTTGCAGGAATGTACATAGATGTTGTCATGTCAAAAGGAATAGGTTGGTTGAAAACCCTACTTGCTCCTTCATACCAGGATTGACACATGTAGTTTATTGGATCGGTCGTAAATCTGTCCACCGTCTTATCCGACCATGATTGCCCCATACTTCCAGTTACAAAGAAGTCGTCCTTGTTTTCTAGCCAACTGTTGAGATTATTGCTAATGTTTTCTTTATTGGAGACGAACTGAAAGTCCTCGTCGAGTTCCAACAGACCATCTCGAGTTAAACTCGAGTAGCCTGTGTCTGTCGATTCTTGCATGCAGTCGCTTATCAGAGACAGCTTACGGGGGCTGAGGTTGGTTGTATCTATTGTTTCGTCAAATGAACTCGCCGTCATCCAATCAGAATCTTCGTTATCTTCAAAATCTGTTTGCACGGCAACTTCCTTAGTTACGTCGTCATGGAGTAAATCTACGATAGATGCGTTGCTAGGATCTCGTTTTGCTCTCGGATTGTCTAACTGGTGTTCAAGGGTTTCTTCGTATTCAAAACTGATATTATGTTCGGGTATTTGAAACATCCCCGGGGACAGTTCGACACTTGGTGAAAATAGGCATGAATTATCCTGTTCCCACTCAAAACACGCTACACCCGAGACAGTCGGGCACGTCAAATCTATATGATTTCGCCATTTTAGTTTATCAAGAGTCCCATTGTCATGGCAACGCGAAACGTTATCAATGTCAAGGGTCGTTTGAGATCTTAAACATAGACTCTTGTGTGGAGTCGCAGCACTTCCATAACTGTCAAACGACTCTGATGTTTTCAGTCCTTTAGTTACTTTCTTTTTGCTGTGCTTATGTTTAGGTTGGTGTTGAGGAGTGAATTCTGCCACTTGTTCACTTGGAACTGTTTCTAAACAACTCCCGGTTTTGATATCCAATGAAATAGATGATTTAAATCCACTGTCGGTTGAGCCAGGTGTTGTTGGTGACACGTCGGTTTCCATGAATACATCCTTATCTCCATGAACACGCGCTCTTGATTGTTGGTCACATGGTGACGGCAGGGGCGACCTTAGCGTTGAAACGCGAGGGAATGCACGTGAGGCGTTGTACGGCGTTGACGACGGCGATGGTAACCAAGGATTAGTTCGGATTCGAGATCTAGATTTTCGAACAGTGTTGTTTTGCCGTTCACAATCCGAGGAATAGATGAGGAGGGAGCTCTTCTCTTGGTCTGTGAGAAAGCTCCCGACCTCTTTCGAATTAGGAGCGAGATATTTTGTTTCATCTAACGATGTATTCAAGTAAGAGTTCTGATAGTCCACACAGCTGCTCTCGTTCTCGGACGTAGGTGATCGCTCCGTGTTCCCAGAAGTGCGGGAATATGTGTCGTCTGTTCCCGTGTCTGATAAGGGCTGATAAGCGACTGTCCTGGAATTATCTTTCTGGTATATCACAGAATTACTGCTATTGTTAATGGCATGACATTTAGGCGCGTTACCATCGCAACGCTCCTTGGTTACGACTGTAGATTTTTGTGATTGATTTTTCTTCTTTTTACCTCGCACACGCGGCAAGGAGTTTGCCACAAATTCGCGCAATTTCATTTTTTCTGTTCTCCCATTGGCCTTTATGTTGCCACCCTAATTTCCGTGAGTGTCTGAAACGATAAAAATAATAATATGTTTAAAAAGTTTGGTCTTTACAATTGACAAGCTTGGAATCAGAATTAGAATTTGACTAAGGTAATAATGGGAAAGCCATCCTTAACTGCCACAGCAGTAATCAAATTTAAATTGATCCGCCAGTATTTGACGATTAAATTACCGGTGTACAGGAAAAATGGAGAGGGATTGCGCAATGTGTGTAATTGGTTTGCACAAAACGATACAAAAAGAACAAATCTTGTTATGTGCTTGTCAGTTTATAGTTTAAAGGGAGAGACTGTGTCAATTCGACACAATAATATACGGTAAACTTTTATTTCTATAATTCTGTTGCGGGCAGCGTTTTTTGGGGGTTGTTTTGAAGTGGAAGGAAACCGGTAAAAACTCATAATATTAGACAATCTTTGTTTCGTACAAACATTTGATCGAAAGCATAACAGACCAACGTCCAACTCGACATTTCGGGACTCATATGGTGGTCAGGTTTCATAAAGTAGGCGGAAACCACTCGGTAGACAAAAGGTAAGACACTTGATCACCCAACCCCCTTCTGAAAAATAAACATGACAACAACAGTAACGAAACGCTGTGTAAATCATGAAATTATAATTTTATTCAAATAATGGTTTGGTCCTAGGATAGCCTGCAATCCATAAATTCCTACAATTTTTCTACTTGTTTAATGCTTTATTCGAACATCATGCAGACGGAAGGATAAACCCATATTAGTCTAGCATGGTTCTAAAATTGTCCTTACAAAGACCGTCACTTTAAATCGGATATAAAATCGTTGATAACTAATAGCTAGGTACAAAATTAGAGCAATTACGATGTGAAATAAAATAGAACTTGACAAGTGTTCCCAAATGTATTATTATTGTATTATCTATACTTTTAGGTACACTATAACAAAGAGGATGTACCTGTAGATTCAATATTTTTTTGTCGTTTTAGATTAGAAACAGAATAATTACACCGTTACCTTAATTGCTATCGAGAGGAAAAACGTCCATACAATGAACGAAGCTTGTGTATAGGTTATAATAGTTTAGATAATAACTGAATACACTGGGGTGAGAATTTGGAAAACATTTTGATCGACAAAAATCTTTACATTCACCATGACATTTTGCCAGGCAACCCAACAAGCAGATATTATATTTTTTATCAGTAAGGTTTCAGTTTAGTTTGGAATATAAACGGCTTCAGCAAAACATACACCATCTACATGTCAAACACGCCGGTAATTTTGTCGTTCATTATTTCGGAAATAGCAGCATGGGAAAAACAAACGTTTTAAAATTGGTAACCTAAGGCCCTAGGCATATCAACGACCGACAATCACACTATTCAGTCCGACAGATTGTCCTCGACTTTTTGCTAAAAGTCTGGGCGATCTTTTAAATAATAACATAATTTTCGCGCATGGCGATAGTGCAATATCGGAGAAGAAAATTCATTATGGTGCCCGTGTAATTGTTATCTACCAGAAATCGGTATGATGCGAGTTGATATTGTTATCTACCAGAAATCGGTATGATGCGAGTTGATATTGTTATCTACCAGAAATCGAGCTTTCGGCGGACTAATAATCTTCAAAGTTAATAAGGTTACGATCTGGTTTGTTAAGTCATGACAAAATTAATTTGTGCGTCCACTGAAAACCATCCTAGTCTGTAATGTGTATAACTGGTTATATTTAAAACGTCTATATCTCGACAATGGATTGATTGTACATGCAATAGAATTTGAACACCCCCTACATAACTTTATAGTCAAATCACGGCAAATCGATGTTCTAAGTCCCCTGAGAGTTAATGTATCTTTATTGAACAACAAACTTCATTTCATTGTAGCTTGAGATTTGCGGCCTTAGGTTATTCCATTAAACTGAATATTGATCGACAGGATGAAATTTGATTCGACAAATAAACCTTATCGTTGGAAAGTTGTTTTTTATAGGTAAAATAATCATAAAGATTGATCATGAAATTAAAGAAAAAACTCGAACCCAAATGTCAAAGTCTATCAATTTAAGAGTTAAAATCCCAAAGAGAAATTCAGAAATGGAAAAGCGATAATTGCAATTGGGTATTTCAGTGCACGAGTAACATAACATGCAATGTTTAGTGACTGTAAAAATCTGTACTAGTTGTAACTTCACGCTGCACTTGCGGCTATGAGAAAAACATCCGTGAAAAACAATTTGATTCCGGTGTCGAGGTTTATCTCGGTACCCGGTTTGGCGCGGTCCCTTGTGAGTTGGACTTAGACCTCACGTCAAACTTGACGTTGCCTCCTCCCTCCCCCCAAACAACCCTGCCCAAATTCCCTATTACGCCCCTGCACTTTTCAAACAGACCGACGTACAGCCCGTGTGTGTTCTTTGGAATTGTACATTATATTGCGCAAATTGGTAGTATCGCTAAAACAATGACAGTTGATATAGCGAATTAGAACAAGCCCAAAGACCTCTGCCCGGCCCAAATCCACCTTCCTAACACGTAGTCATAGAAAATAAAAAGGTCATATGTTAGTCTTAAAAATATTAACCGACAGTTCAGTCGCATTTAATTCACTAGTTTAAAATGGTGGTTGATGACACTTTAAGCAATAAAGCCGTTACTAATGCTAGTCTCAGAATTTTGACTAAACAGGATGTTAACCCGCATTTCTTTTGATTCGTGTACTCAAAATAGTGGTGACGATGCCACTTTAAGCAATAAAACCATTATGTAATAATATAAAACAAACAATCCATAACACTAATACAATAATGTTAGTATCAGAGCAATCAATAATTTCCATTATCGTTGTAAAACATTAACAAACACCATGGGTTAAAAGTTAATTTATCAATCAAAATGGATAAAAAAAACAATCGCACAGGTCATAAATAACTGTGTTCTGACAAAGAAATTTTATTTGGTGCTCTATGAATAAAATACGGTTATTAATATGAGAATAACGAAATGAAATAGGGTTTAACGTCCTACTTTTCTGCAACAGTCGGGTTAATAAAGACTAGCATACGCCATAAATTTCGCCCGGCCATTAAATTGATTTTCAAATGATAGCACGGGGGAGTCGGTTTTTCGTCCACCGAACGACTAGACGCGGTTTCAAGTCAGGCACCCCGTCCTGCACCACTGAAAATGGAAAACCACACCTGTGAAAATAACGTGCCATTTATGGAAGCAAATGTGCGAGAAGAAGAATGTTGCCTGGTAGGCAGAGGTCGGTCCGTGAATTTGAACCGCGGACAATTTATCCGTATAGCCGCCCCAAACAATTCCGAAGAGATCCGACCCAAGTACCTTCTCTTTTCAATTTCGGTGCCTCTTTCTTGAGAAATTAAGAGTCAGTCCAAAGAGGAACAAAATTTTCTGAGAATTCCTTGTTTCATGTAATTTCATGCGATACAACTTCTCACACTGATCTGACAGATTAAACAATTTTATATTTCAGCCCAAATCATTACAATCATGACTTCATAATTTCGTTTCACTTTTTAGGGGAGCCGCGATGACTCCTTGAAATGGCACAGGCTCACTAACTAGAAGGTTCAAGGTTCGATCCAGGGGAAGGTCGATAAGTTCTAGGGAATTTTCCAGACTGGTTTACCGTGTCTGTCATTCGGGGGTCCTTATGGATCTCCTGAAAGTGGGAAATCAAAATAGAAGTAGGTGTATTAGCGCCATTTCATTATATTGTTAAATGAGTAAGTACGGGAAGTACTTTTATAAATTAGTCACTGTTTCTCAGTCAGTACGATCAATATAATACCAACACCTGTACGATATTCATGTCGCATCATCACCCATCAACAACGAGTCTGTTTTACATTAAGACGCCAGATTATGTTTAACAATATTACACTGGCAATAAGAGCCACCATTTTAGCCATTATATTGTTATTATTAGATTAAGGTACAAGAGAACAAGACTAAGTAACTAACAGGCTTACTCATCTGCTTCTAATTAAATAAACTACACTAGATTTATAGCATGTATCATCAGAGTCACACACGGGTGAAATGGAATGGGGTTTAACTCTTCATCTCATAGTTTAGATTGTCTGGGACTAACATACGGTATTTGTTTTAGTTCTATGTCCCAGCACAACTGCCATGATGGATTTCACCAGGGCAGTGATTTTCCGGGTGCTGTCCAGCGTGGTTTCCCTTTGTTACAGGCCTGGCAAGGAACAACGCCTAGTCGGATGGAGCGACAAACTGAGGTGTCTTGTACACGTTGGTGTGCACGTAAAATAACCTTTAACAGTTTGAATTCGATTAGGAGTAGGCAGAACGCCACTGCCCGGGTCGAATCTCCCTTTTAGCTTACTGCATGGCGTACCCCTGGTTCGTGAAGAACAGAAGGACGTTAAACTCCACTGAATTTCATTCCAATTTTTTTTCTCCTAAACTGATCATCTATGCCTTTTCCCTTGATAACTATGCTGATCCTCACAAATCTGTGTGCAGATTGGAGTAAACAACACACAAGCAGATCCTCACAAGTCTGTATGTAGGTCGGCGTAAACCAAAAACCACACAATTAAAGCCTAAGGGGACCTGGTTACCTAATTACAAGGAACCGTATATGAAGCCAAATAAGCTGCTTCTTCTTGATATGGCCTAATTACGAACCGCACGATATTTGTATGTAGAAAATTACATTATACATGATGGCAATATAATTCCCTTGGTAAATTGCACAATTATTCTGTTTTCAGACCACAAATGGTGGATATCAAATCAATTCTCGTGGCTACATAATTCAATAAAGCGCACTGGATAAGAAACCTAACCACATTACGTATACCATTTTGTAACTTTTACTCGTATTTTCTGTTATATTAAATTCAGAAGTCTGTATATCAATTACTTGTCGGATTATATCAGCCAACAGCGATCTATTGAAAGGTGTTTACATTTAAAGTAACTGTGTGCAATTTACATTTTTTCGGAAAATATCAAATTTCTCACGG